AAACAAGCAGTGAACTCCAACACAATGTGTTGATAAGGCGCGTCATTAACTCGCACATATCAACCCCTTTAGTTTTCATTTACAGAGATTTCAAAATAGGCAAGCAGCACAACAAAAGAATTCACGATCCAACACTGCGAGGTCAACGACGCACCTTGACGAGACCGTGTATTGTGAATGTAGAAAGCTATTCGATCAAATTTAAGTTTTTTGATCTGCCTCAAGCAAAATCTTATCAGATTCTTGAAGAAAAGTGCTACGGAATAATTTAAGCGAAGAAAGGAAAAATTCTGTCGAACTCCTAGAAGATAAAGTCGATTTAAAGGTATTTTGGGGCTAAAATACCCAAATCACCGGTAGTAAAAATCCCGTTATATTATTGAAAAGAAATTGACTCGATATAAATGCAATTGCATTAAATACGTCTTGATTTTGTTATTTTAAACGTCTTTCCATGCAAAGAAGTTCAACCATGTCGTTGCTTTATTCATTCATGAATTGAAAGTAAGCAATCTACATCCCGAAAATCTACTGATTTGCCGTAAAAAATTGCAGAAACTTGATATACCAGGTCGATGCACCCACTCGTTGAATTTACCAACCAATTTTGTGAGTGCAAATGTGTAAGAATCAATATGCTATAGTCATTTTGGGTGCATTTATTTTTCATGAAACAATAATAATTTCAATCCCGAAAAACCATCAATTTTCCGTATAAAATCGAAAAAATCAAAATATGTCAACTCCCCGACGTGAAAATTAGATTCTACGTATGTAAAATGTAAATACTTATGTATCGATATGCTGAACAGAACTATGTGTGGACAGTCAGAAGCCCGCGGCAACATTAATTCAACAGAAAAACTGTAAAAATTAGATAGGATTTTAGCCGCTTTGCCCGCCTCTCCTCGCTACTTACAACAAACCGTTCTTATACTCATCTCAAAATTTTTCTCAGAGCTTTGGGTTATTATCAGCTTCCATTTAAACTCCGGTTCGATGGCCGAATCGGCTGCCAAAAAAGCAAGCCACTGTTGAGGGGTTCTATGAGAAATTCGTGATATTATCGGCTCTCAGGAAATCACCCCATGGCTAAAATTGGTGGTATAAATGTTTAAGTGCTTAAAATAATCGTATTCAAGAAACTAAGGAATTAAACTATGGAGTCAATTTCTTTTTAATAATATAACGAATTTACTACCGGTGATTTAGCTATTATAGCCCCAGAATACTTTTAAAGCGCCTTTGCGTTCCAGAATCTCGACGGAATTTTTTTTTTTTTTTTTTTTGCTTAAACGATTCAAGAAACATTGTAGTTAAAAATATAAAGATTTTTCGATTTGGACGTATGAAAAATGTTTAACTCGTTCAGGCACACCGTGTATTGTATGGAGTACTGCTGTTATTCGACCGTTGTCTTCAGGTCAAAATTCTTACAAAGAAGCCCCTTGCAAGAGGCAAATTTTTTGTAATTTCTCCCAGTTTTTTCAGCGTTAGGTATATAAATGAATTGTTTGTCAAATTTTGAGGTCAATTATATTTAATTGTAATTTATACTTTCTTTTTTTCCCCTTCATTTTATTTTTCGTATCGAGGAGTCGAGGTTTTGTTGATTTCTTCGGATTTCGATTACTGTAACTTCTCTTCTATTCGGCCGATTTTTATGAATGAGGTCTCTTTTTATTTGTGTTTTAACGGAGAGTAAGGAAAAAATTGCTAAATACATGCGAAACAATTTTTTTTGAAAATTGGATGAATCCTAGCGTGACGGTGAAATGGTTAATGAAGCGTGAGTAATTGGGGTACGGGTATCGGCCGCGTTGGGACCCAAGGCGGCCCAAGGCCCATTGTTCTTCGTGACGCCGACGCAGTGATCAGGAGCGTGGGGAAGAGAGGGCTGAGTGGACTCCTGTATGAGCCACGTTTAGCAAATGGTCTAATGAGTCTCGAGGCTCATCACAGATTGCACTTACCACTATCCTGCTGGCCCCGGCTATCAGAGCAAGGAGTACCAACTTTTGAAAAGGATAACAGTGGTGTGGAGATATGTCAAAGCAACGTTGTGAACAAAACGGAGTGAGTGAAATTCTCATTCAAGGAGTGCCGAACTGGTCAGCCATCCTCGAATCAGTTCGCTTGCTTCCGCTTATATATGCATATTTTAAATCAGCGCGTCGTACTCTTAGGCTTTTTTTAAAAAAACCAAGTAACGTAGACTCTTGGTATTCACTGCACATAAACTAGAGAGCCCCAGAATGAGAAACAACTTTAAATCATAATTATTGACGGATAAATAAACTTTTTACACGCTTTGGAAAATCTCAGAAGTTCGCGGTAGTCACTTTTCGGTAAGGAACTAAGGGACTCGGTTATTGTATCGAGTGGGGGGTCGAAACGATCGCAAAGGCGGTATACTACGTATACGCGCCAACAGGGGTTGATACGATGGCTCAAATGGCCTGGTGCTATACGGCCAGACGACCGACGCGACGGAGACTATTTTCGTTTTTCATGAATATGTTGAATGTTGGCTAATCTAAACTTTGGAAGAAAAAGAAAATATAAGGCCTATAAGTCTAATTTTAGGTTTTCCTGATGTAAAACATCATTTAAAATACGTGCATGCATTAAAAAAAACTAATAAAAAAAGAAGATCCTGTGTATTTTAAATACGGGTCTAAACTGACCCGGTATTGGTAAACTAGTTGGAAAAACTTGTTTGGCAGACTAGAATTAATGTAGGTACATATATTTCTTTCCGAATACATCCATTCTGTAGATGTAATTTATTGATACATGTCTCTTAGTAAAAATTGCTCGAACAGTTTTGAATGTTACAGTTTTTTGTAGCGTGTCCTTACCCTCTCAAGAATATTCTCTGACAATTGCTTACAAATGTGTCTGCAAGAGTAACCTCTTGAAAAAATGAAATCGGTTTATGAGAACCTGCTGAAACATGACTGGGTGTTTCACTGGTTTTCCTTTCGTTATCCAGACGATCTATTCTTGGGGCATGCGCCACGTCCAGCCATTGAGTATTTCTCTTACATCTTGTTTATTTTTGTCAAGTTCAAAGTTGTTGAATCAAATCGACACCACTTTCAGCTCGACTCCAAAAACATCTAAATTTAATCATTTATGAGATTTGGTATTTTTACTGATGATTTTATCATAATGACGATTCTTGGGCTTCAACAGCATCATGGGCTGAGTAGCATAAGGTTTATTAGCGCGGTGCGAACGCACTTCAAAACGAGTGGGTACAAGATTCTGGAGTGCGCCGTGTGTTAGCGATTGATATATCTCACCATTCAGTCAATTTTCTTCCGCTGTGAAGACGCAAGTAAGTGTTCGTAGATAAATCTATGCACCAATTTCTCCGTAATATTGTGCAGAAACTTATAGTTTAATAAGTAGCATCTGTGTTACAAGCAAAACAAATTCACAACTTCACATAATATAAATTCAGGTAAAGTCAATGGGCATTTTTATATTTACTAATTTAAAATATAAAATATTACTTCCTCTCTGATAATCAAAAACACGAATAATTGATATTATGTGTTCAGCAAACTAAAACTTAGCAGAATTCTTTCATCTCTAAATGTATATCGATGACCATATAGTCGAAGAACTAAGAACGTATAACTCTTCTTGTGACTCATGATTTATATTTTTTGACGACGAAAAAACCAACCAGCTAACAATTCATCTGTAATTTTTTATATTTCCTAAAGAATATTTTTAAAGAGTTTCATTACATGGTTTTTTCTATCTCAAAATAGAAAAAATTGTCAACGATTTTAAAATCGAGCATTAAGACACACAATGTCAAAATGCAGCCACCAAAATGCTCAATCTGTTCCTTTAAAGAATCTTAATTACTTAATAAAACGCCTGCCAGATTGAGCCTAAAGAACTTTCATTTTAGCTAAAGACGCTTTTCGGGCACAGCCCATCCTCAGTTTGTTTGATTTGTTTATATCTTAAAAAATGTTTGGGCTTAAGCTACTGAAGATTGGCTATATGCCATAAAGACATCTTTAGCTGAAAGTAAGTTTTGTTACTTAATTAAATATTTTTGGACGCATTTACAGTAAAAGGAACTATATTGCACGCAAAACCTATGCTTATAGTTCTTTTTGGCATGAATACATCCATTTGCAAGGTTATGGCTCTCTAAATTAGTTATTTTAATATGTTTTATTTTCAGCTATCTGCACTGAAAAAAAATTCTCGGCGTTTTTACCAAGGTCCGTTGGTACCTTTACCATCTCATTTTTTACCAATTATTGGTAATTTTACCAAGACAGACTGGTAAGCTTATCTAAAAAACAGTATTTTTACTGGTTTTTTTTCAGGTAAGAATACCACTTTTATTGGTAATCAATTCCCGGTAACTTTGCCATTTTATCTCGGTAATTCGACCACAGTCGATAAAAAATATTGGCGTTTTTACCAAGGTCCAGTAAAATTACCGAGAAAGTTCAATAATTTTACCGAGATTTCTCGATAAAATTACCAATTCCATATATGGTAATTTTACCAAGAAAAAACTGGGATCAAATAGAACCCTGAATTCTTGGTAATTTTACCCTTTTCTTAGTAAATACACCGAGATTTTTTTTTCAGTGTATCAGGGCACTCAGTATAGACTTGTCCATCTCATCAAATTCAGCACTAGTGCTGACAACAGCCTCGCTCCTTTTAGCATAAATACGACAATTTGCAAGGTTATAGCTCTCTAAATCAGTTATATTATTTTATTTCCAGCTACCTTCTTCAGGCACTCAGCATGGATCTACCCATCTCACTGAACTCGGCACTAGTGCTGACGACAGCCTCGCTCCTTGCTTGGCTATGGGTGCGCGAGAAACTCAGCTACTGGTCCAAGCGGGGCGTCCCGTTCGTTTCCCCCTGGAGGTGCCTCGTCGCCACTCTAGCTTTCACGATCAAACGGAAACCCTTCTACGAGATTTTCCTGGAGCAGTACGAAGCCCTGCGAGGCCACCCGTACGGCGGCACCTACCAGCTCCTCAACCCTGCTGTCATCCTCCGGGACCCAGCAATGATCAAGGAGTGGCTCGTCAAGGGCTTCAACAACTTTCACGACCGCGGCCCGGAACCGGACGAGAAGGTGGACAAGCTCAGTGGGAACCTCTTCCAGCTCACCGGCGAAAAGTGGCGCGTCGTTCGGCAGAAACTCGCCCCCGTCTTCAGCTCCGCCAAGCTTAGGATAATGTTTCACACTTTGAAAGGGTATGCATGAAACATTGCCGTGTTCATGGTTCCCTCTAGAGTCCCTTTATACTGAGAGTCAAGAGAATGTGAATCCATTTCTGATTGGTTCCCGTATTCTAGGCCTTCACAGTGTCAGAAACGGGAATAAAGATTACATTTCCACCGATTGCAAAGATTATGATATGGAATGGACCGGGGAATTACGGGTTCGGCAAGGAACAAACGTAATGAAAGAAGGAACGGAGAAAGGAATTTGAGAATGGGCCGATCAAAGATTACAAAAAACGTTCAATTTCTGTAATCTTTATTCCCGTTTGTGACTCCATGAGGGGGTGTTGTCTTGACTCTCAGTATAAAGGGACTCTAGTTCCCTCTAAAGTACCTAAGTAGAAAGAGTTCGGGCATGTGTAATTTTGAAGCCCATCTGCCCTGCCATTTGAAGATATTGACGATGTTGACATTTTTGTGATCCCCAAAAATCTTGTGATTTTAAAGACTAAAAATTAAATGTTGAAATCCTTAAGATTCCCAAATCACTGACTTGCATACTATACCGTGCTGAGGGGAAACGCAGTGCGAACATTCAAGAGTTGCCAAATTTCCCCGGATAAAACGTGTATTTTAAGGGAAATTATTCATGATTTCCCTTGAAATTTGCTAATATTAGGTATAGATCAAATTGCAAACGAAAGTGTCTGAGGAAGTTGAAGAAAAATATTCATCATTTTCTCAATGAAGTCGGTTTTTATCCAAGGAAATTCGGCAATATCCATAGGCTCACACGACGTTTTTCAACGTTTGGAAGCGACCTTCCCACAGATCTGTAGCTTCTATGTACCAAATGTAAAATAAACAAATAAATGAATTACTTGTCGCAGGTGCGCGGAAGAGCTAAGCGCTCACCTGCGCTCGCGCTGCGGTGCTCGCGGGGAGACGGAGCTAGACATTAAGGACCTGGTGGCCAACTACACGATGGACGTGATCGGAGCCGCCGCGATGGGCGTCCAATGCAACGCCATCCGGGACCCGGAGAACTGCACGATGAAGGAGGTGGCGCAACGGATGTTCCGCTCCGACTTCCGATTCGCATTCTTCCAGTTCCTCGAGATGGTCCACCCGAAGCTCCCAAGGCTCCTGGGTCTGACGCCGAGGGATAGGATGGTTCAGGACTTCCTCGGCCAGGTCACGAAGGATGCTATGGCCATGAAGCAGCAGGATGCCCATGGGGACAGGAAGGACTTCCTCCAGCTGCTCATGAAGTACAGCCAGGAGGAGGATGGCGATGCTCAAGGTGAGTGGTGAATAACTGTCGTATTCGTCCATTTAAAGACATCGGATCAGTACTGCCGTACTAAGGAAGAACGCCGCATGAACATTCGAGAGTTGCCAAATTTCCTTCAATTAAGTGTTCATTTTTGAGTATTGTTATGAATATTTTTCCTTGAAATTTGCAGGGACTTTAGGAGAAATTGCGGAGAAAATAATCTGGAAAATTGGAAGGAAAATATTCGTAAGTTTACCAGGAAATTCGTGTTTTATCAAAGAAAATTTGGCAACGCCTGAAGGTTCATACGACGTTTTTCCTTAGTATGGCAGAGTGAGCAAGGCACTAAGTTAAGCATTCTGATAAATATTATTCGCCCAAAATTTCGCGTGTAACACAATGCGCGGAAAGAGAATTAAATTGCAATTTGATTTCAATAAAATTATAATTTCTTCACCTTTAAATTGCAATATTTTTACATCATTTAGTCGATAATCCGATTTTATACACTCAACACGATGAGCTCTATGTGTCAGAAAAATGCAATGCGATGAAAAATCGCAACTTATTTCAATTTTGTTGCGATGAGTTTCAATAAATGTGGCCCCTTCAAATAGGAGCTAGGCAACATACACAACACTCAGTGGAATTGCAATATTTTTACAATGTAATTGCTCCTTATTGCAATCTGTGCTACTCGGGATCGATGTATGGAAATACGCTGCCGTGCTAAGGAAGAACGAAAGTTGCCAAATTTCCTTCGATAAAATGTTTATTTTTGAGGAAAGCTATGAATATTTTTCCTTGAAATTCTCAGGAGCTTTAGGTGAAATTTGGAACCAAATTATCTGAAAAATCGGAAGGAAAATTTTCATTAGTTTACCAGGGAATTCGCGTTTTATCAAAGAAGACTTGGCAACGCCAAAAGGTTCATACGGCGTTTTTTCTTACCACGGCGGTACGGGTCGATTGGACCCGATAAAAATTATTGGGCATCTAAACGCTAAATTGGATGAAAAAAATGTTTCTTATTTTATTAATATTTATTAATGTTATTTTTTTATTTTTTATTATTTTTCATTTTTATAATATTATTATTTATTTTTGTTCTTTTTAATTTTATTATGATGTAGATTCGATTATAACGGAAGGAGTGATAATGGGCGTGATCGCTTCGTTTCTGTCTGCCGGTCTCGAACCTGTGTCGGCCACGGTGACTTTTGCCGCGTACGAATTGGCCCACAATCCTTGGGTCCAAGAGAAACTATTCAACGAAATTCAAGCGGTCAAGAAAGAATCCGGTGGGGATATCCAGTTCGATGATCTTAAGAAACTCCATTATTTGGACCAGATCGTCAATGGTGAGCGAAGTCTTGTTTATATCAAGGAGCCAGAGGCGGATCCAGCAATTTAGCAACACAGGATTTCCTCCATTAAAACTTATTTTAAATAATCGATTCTTTTCGGGGCACATGGCTCCTCCAAGAATCGATACATTTCCATAGGTTTGAATGGAGAAAAGACAATGCTGCTGGTTCTATATCCCTTGCTGGTATAGACGTGGCAACGTTGGTTTATAAAAAACAGTGGTGTTTTTTTTTTTTTTTTTTCAGGGACCTCGGAAAAAAAAGCACTGGAAAAAAAACACATTTGATCTAGAGTCCAGACTCTTAAAAACATGAAACTTAAACGACAAGAAAAAAAGTACTTTTGATTACATCAGAATCTAGCTTAAATCAAGAACCAAGCCTCTTAATTTAAGCGGATTTCGTTTTGATTCAAGCAAACTTCCGATTGAATCAAGAGTATTTTTTCTTGTAAATGTTTTCAAGAGTGTGTTCCAATGTGTAGTTTTTCCAGTGAGTGCATCGTGTCATAATGTGCTCTGCCCTCTATAATGTTGCCAATTTGCTGGATCCGCCCATGCGCAAATCTCAAAATTTTATATAATATCTCTTCGTCCTCTCAAGTTCATTCTGATGAATTTCAAACGGACACTCAAATCCTCAGTTTGCACTTGCATGGCGGAGAATATTAAAACATGTATACAATTTTTTTTTTCTTTTCTTTTTTTTCCTTTTTTTGACTGAAGAGAGAATATCTTCGAGGGTGGTATCAGTGTCACTTGGATTGCTAGTGCCAAATTTGAAGACGTATATTTTCACTAACTTTTCGGCAAAACGGAGTTATTTAAACGCAAAAACGGGATTTTTTCAGAGGATGCGATGATTTGGAAGACAACTGCATGTTCATGTCGTTGGGCACAGTTTTTAGGCATGCTTTAGTTGCAGATCTATGTATTTTTTTACCACTGACTTTAAAAATGATATCAGCTCTTCTCTACGAGTAGCATGTGCCGTTGTTTTGAAACATCCCATTCCTCTCAGAGACTAACTTTTTTTCCAAGAAAACTTTGATTTTCTGGAAGATTCTCACGTGACGGGGAAGAACGGATGAAATTTTTGAATTCACCACTAATTATCCATGAGGATCTTCTTCTTGGATGTAGCCCTGTGGCATAATCAATGAAGCCAACTTGATGTTGTGCATGATAGTTAATCACAGCACAAAATAATATTAAGATAAAAACAAAGTGCCTAACCTTTTCAGCTGTGATCAAATTTTGAATTTTTTTTGGTCCTAAGTCCCACACATTTATTTAGGTCGTGGAAGGGACCTAAAAATTCCTGCAACAGAGTTAATCTGCCATCAAAGAGAAGTCCGCCGCGGGTTTTAAATGACTTTCAAAGTAAAATAATTATTCATTTCCATGGAAAGTAATTCTTTTAAATGTATTCTTCTTGTAGCTCATTTATAACGCATTTGAAATGCATATTTTTGCGCTTCCTCAGGTAAAAATGTATTTACATGATGTTTTGTTTTCCTATACAGAAACTCTGAGGAAGTACCCCATTGCTCCGGCTTTGGCGAGAAAATGCACGGAGGCATTCCAAGTTCCTAATTCTAAAGTAGTGATAGAGAAAGGCACCTCTCTAATGATCTCAACATGGGGCCTCCACCGTGATCCGGAATATTTCCCCGAGCCAGAAAAATTCGACCCCGAAAGGTTCTCAGAAAAGAATCTTGACAAAATTGTTCCAGGAACGTACTTGCCATTCGGCGAGGGACCTCGATTTTGCATCGGTAAGACTCTAATACTGTCGATTTCTCTGTGCGAAGAAACTTCTGCAAAAACTCTAAGGGATTATGTCAATTCGTTCTCCTTTGAAAAAATAACATGGAGGCGGAGATTTTCAGACATCGCAAACAAGATATGTGATTGCGGACTTACGCCGTCGATATGGATCACATACCCAAGGAGATCGAAAACACACTTGTGGCTATAATTTTCCACATATATGCTTACAAGTATCATGCAATCAGGAAATGTTCGGTAGAATGGAGAAAATCTGCGTTTTCTTGACTTTACAGAGCTGAGACCTGCAAATCCCTACCGACAAAGCTCTGATAGTAGATTGAAGGGCTCTTAATGGCATCACACAGTGAGAGTTCTTGTAGTGGCTCGATTTATAAAAACGGAAACGATTTCATCTTGAGTATTTCCGTATCATCCCATACCTAAAATTAGTCACTCGGCTAGAGTACGTAATCACTGTTTGTGTTCGAGCACTTGCATCATCCACTCTCTATGGCTTTTCACTCGGACTTTACAGGACTCTTTTGTAATTGCATCATTGTATCTGCTGTTTATGACTCTAAAACACTTTTTTTACACCCAATAACCTGCTTGTTTTTAGATGATGCCTCACATATCAGCATGTGTACAAATATTGCTTTCCACAAGTGTTATAATTCGAGTTTAATAGCGTGTCGATGACCTCAAGACTTGTTTACATATCCTGTTATCAAATATTTTTTATTCTGATCCCTGGTCAAATTAGTTGTTGTAGATTTTTATAATTCTCTTTTTTTTTCTTATTTCTGTATTGAGACACATGATATCAATAGGCCACAAGGACACTTTTGTGACCAGGCTGAGCTTATTGTCCCACAGAGTAGTCCCCTTTGAGCCGCATCCAAAGAAATAAAAATAATTTGACAAAGAATGTATTTTTGGGAACCAGGGTGAATTTACGCGCTGCAATTTTAAAAGCGTTTGAAGAATGGACTAAAATTTAGAGAAATCATTTCACTCAGAGGTATCCATTGAGAATTTTAAAATTTGCCTCCTTTTACATTAAATGTGACCTCCAAATAAAGTTTTAAAGCTACATCAGTATAAGGTTAAGATAAAAAACAGAATTAATCCTATGAGATATATAATGACGGAAAAAGGTAAGATGGAAAAACAACTTAATTTTCTCATCTAGACGATTCGTGCCGACCACGAAATTTTACCCTGGTAAAAATTGGCAGTAGAATCTGTGTTCCAAAATAACATAGACCTACAGCCGGCTGTAAGATTACCAATAGCTTCTACAGCCGGCTACACAATTTCTTATAGCATTTTATAGCTGATGGCGATTAAGCAACATCCAGATGATAAAGTGTATGCTAAACGTTACTAATTATTACGGATGCTAGGACTTAGTGAGTTTTTGGACTACTGCTCTCTTTTTGGGCCGTAGTATCTTGATTTATTTTGCGAGGAAAGCTCCGTACTTTTGATGGATGCCTGTTATTCCTGATATATTCGAGCGCCTTCAGTTGCGTATGATACTGTGCAATACCTCTGGTGTGAAATAGTTGCTTCAAGCGCCGTGGCACGCTGCGGCGTGGCAGGCGGGCAGCCAGCGAGAAACGCGCATTGGCGCCTACAAACCGAACAGGGATACTTCACGCGTTGCGCAATGCGTTAAGTATCCCTGTTAGGTTTGTAGGCGCCAGTGCGTCGCCACTCCGCTTTGTGTTAGGCTCAAATATTTAATCGCTGGCGGAGTCAGCGTTATTCAACTCATGATTTTGAAATGTTTGCACATCCTGTATGGATTATTCTCATTTTAATTGATGAAAAAAAATATGTATTAAAGGAAAATATAATGTGTGTTTTGTAAATATTAAGGTGGTTCTGTATCAAACTTAATGATTTCTAAAGCACACGAATTTCTACACAATTTCTTACAGCCTTTTATAATCGATGGCGGAAAAGTAACAGCCAGGCGATAAAGTGTAAAGCCTGGCGATAAAGTGTAAAGCCTGATGATAGGAACTATATAGCCCGGCGGCTGCATATTTTTTTATCGCTTCGTATAGCCCGGCCGTATGATTTTCTCCGCATTCTACAGCCAGCTATATGATTTTCTGTAGCCTTTTTTAGCCGGCTATAAGAATTCCTACGGTATTTCGAAACGCAGCTCTTATCGCCAATTTTACCAGGGTAAACTAGCTGTATAATGACACCGGTCCTGAGCTGTAATCTAGACTTTAGCTGAAATGTTAAAAATTGTACTAAAAATTCGTCACAGAATGTTGTGTTTTCTGAAAGTTGGAAAAAGTGACTTTTTTATCTTTTGATCCATACATGTATTTATTTTCTGACTGATAATACGGTTATGCTAGGGAAAAACGCCGTATGAACATTCGAGACTTGCCAAAATGTTTGATTTTGCGGAAATTTATACATATTTCTCCTTAAAATTTTCAGATGTTTCAGATTAAATCGTAAACAAATTCGCCTGAAAAATTCGATGTAAAATACTCACAATTTTCAAAGTAAATTCGTTTGAATGGAACATGGCAACATCTGAAGGTTCATACGGCATTTTTCCTTGCACGGCAGAAAAGCCGAGTCATCGGCCAAAACTCTCCGGGTTTAATCTTTTTTAAAGTCCTCTGCCTCGCATTTCCACTGTATATATCCGATGTATCTCTATTTCATTAATCATCCATCATCAAGTCATTCATCAAATGGCCACACATCGCCCTGCTAAAAATGACGAGTAGGCTATTCAGAATTCGCCAACTCGCGTGAGTAGAACTTCCTACTTATATGAGTAGAAATCCTACTCATATCACTAGAATAGTCTGCTCATAAGAGTAGAAAAGTTCAACTCATATAAATTCAATTTTTTTCATTTTTCAGAAGTTCTGTTTCTGACCAGGAGACACCGACGTAATACGTAAATTTGAAAGATAAAAACATTTTGTTCTTATAATTTTTTTGATGCGGTGACTAGTTTCTGAGATATCGGACACGGTAGATACAATGCAGAAGCTCATGTTAGTTGAAACCTTTAGTCAAATGAGTCGGAATCTCTAGTCATATGAGTTGGCAAAAACTGAATAGAGAAATTCTGCTCATATGAGTTAAATTCTATTCATATAAGTTGAAATTCTATTCATATACGTTAAAATTCTGTTCATATGACTTTGATTTTCTACTCATTTGTACTCGCCATTTTTAGCAGGGCGATTCTTCGTCTTTCATCAACTCAAAGCACACCATGATTTAATATGAATAATTTCGTGTTACAGCGCAACGATTGGCTTTGATGGACGTCAAAACAATGCTCGTCACTTTAGTATCAGACTACACACTTCACCCATGCGCCAATACTGTGAAGCGATTTAAAATGGACGTACACTATTTCACTCTGAGTCCAGACGGTGAAGTACGGCTGCGCCTTAAAAAACGTAACTGATCTAAAGCGTAGGAGGGAACCACATCCTTATTCCTCTTAAACGCACGCCCTTTAGGTACAGACTTAAGGTGTGATACGTTTATTTGTAAAAATAGTATAGCAATTTGCATTATTCAAATATATTTTTTATGGAATTTTTGTGTTGTTATCAATTAATAAGAGCATTTTGAGCATTTTGATCAGAAGGTGTCAGTTGCCTGATGATCTCTGGGAGGATAGGGGGTTATAGGACATTTCGTCAAGGATTTTTTGTCCGAGCACTTGTTTTTTCCAGTAGTTTAAGTCCACGCGTTTTTTCGGCAGAGGCGTTTTGGTCCACTTACCAATTATTGAGACCCAAAGTTAATTGGGCAACATATAAATACAAAGAACAGTTGCTCACGACGTTTTTGGATGAAATGTATAATGTCTTGGAAGAATGGGGGTTTGCTCGTTTTGTGTTTGTTTGGTTGGCCAAACGGAAACAAATATATAATTGAGAATTTTGGCGTCAATTCCATGAGGGAAAATTCACTAAAACTCTCTACACCTCTTTGGTGCAACAGGACTTAATTATCTTTCAAGAATATCCCATCTTTTTATACCTGAACCATATGAACCTTTTGATTTTCCTCAGCTATAGGCTCTTAGATTTTTCTTGTTTACGATAAATTTGCGACGGCGCCGGCGCACACTGTGGTATTTGACCGAAAAACCTGGCCAAAACCTCAATTTTAAATATTTTTTTTTTGGAAAACGAATGTGATATTCAAAATCTACACTGTTTTTCACCCTAGTAGACATGTACGTGCCATTTTTCGAGTGGCTCAATTTCCCGCGAAGAGACCACGAACTTACCTATTTCTTAGCGATTATTTTTATATGTTTCGGCGCGCTACTCATCGATCAGTTTACTTCAACTGTGCGGCCATGAAAGGGAAGTTCGGCGATATGCAACACATTTTTAGGGGTATATTCTACACAACTAACCACAGTATTTTCGAAATTTCCTTATATAGTGATTTTCACAGGAGGTTGAAAAGTGATGTAAAAGTAAACGTTTTTTTCGAAATTCAGAGTCCGATTTCTTTTTGCGCTCAACTGCACTTAAGCGGTTTAAGGCGGAATGTTATAGTCCGAAGTGGGTATTTTCAGGATTCAGGGGTGACAGACTGAGGAAAACTGAGGAAATTGAAATTTTTGACCTCAAAGATGGACTTTTGAGCGATTTTCACAAACATGAATGAAAAAAATTATGTCGATACTAACAACTGAAATGGTATTTATCTTACAGCTCTGGCCTATTTAGTACCAAATTGGGTGATATTTGGTCACGCAACCTTTTTCTCTAGCCCCTGCGCTCCCGAAAGAGGGATAAAAAAAATAATTTGAAAGCGGATGAAAGGGTCACTTTAAAGTCTTGCAAAAGTGTTTAATCCGTTATCTAACCATCTCTTCGTGCATTTTCCTTGAGTATAGACATATTTATGCCATGTTTTACTTTGACAGACAAATTTGAGTCCATGCGGCCATGGGATGGGGCTTTAAAAGTGGTCTTCTGGCACCATGAAATTACGCTGAGAGGCACATTTTGAAGCCTCGTAAAAGTTATTTTACGATTTTTCCTCAGCCAGCAGATTGTAAAGGGACATCATTAAAATTAAATATTCCATTATTATCAACGTTTATTTTCTACGGTCAGAGTATCTTTACTACCCACGAATTTTTATAGAAAATACCTTTTGCATGATATTCACGTATTATTACAATTTACATCAAAACTGTTAACACTTAAATATCTAGAATGATTTAAAACCTACATTTTGAGAAAGAATACAATTGCACCTCGATAAGTGAGATATGTGGTTTTGTTACAAATTTTGCAGTGAATTACGCTGTTTTATATTAAAAAAGGCAATTTCAAAGGTAATGACCCTCACTTCGAGATGTGGACCATGGGTCAGGAGGGAACCTATCAAAATGAATCATTTTCACAGGTGCTTTCTGTCCTTACAATGGTTCTTATTATGATAAAACTCATTTTCATCTTATAAGTTATCCTTAAATCATCATATGAAGGTCCCGGCATGTTCATACTAGCACTAATTTTGATTCAAAACTGTCAAAAATCTAATATCTAGAATGATTCATATTAATTTTTTGAGAAATGTACAATTACTCCTCAATGTGAGAGATCGGCTGTTGCGTCAAAAATTTTGAAAGGACTTACGCTGTTTCTTAAAAAAACCATTGATGGGGTCATAGAGAGTCCTTATTTCGAAAAGTGGACCATAGGTGAAGGAGAAACTCGTCTAAATGCACCGCTTTAGTCCGATACTTTGCGTCCTTTTAAAGGCTTTTTGGAGGGCTTCTTGCACCCTCTTTAAACTCTCCGCAAATTGTCATATGATGTGTTAGGTGGTTAAATTGTGCATATTATCACTTAAGAAGAAGTACTGATTGTAAAATATTTTTAAAACTCGGCGATATCTGGTGATATATAGTTTTGGCCAGCTTTTCAGGTCCAATACCACAGTGTGCGGCGTGCCGCGGCGCTTCAAACTACTATTTCGCTTTAAAGGTGTTGCACAGTATCATGCAAGATTGAAGGCACCCCAACGTATCTATTAATGGTATCTATCTAATCTATTAATGGCATCTTTCAAAAGGACGAAGTTCCCTCGCAAATTTAATCGAGTGACGACGAAAAAAAGAAAGCTGTAGTCGAAAAACTTGCTAAGTCCTAGTATCTGGATCCAGTCACGTTTAGCATGATTTTTGAACTTAATTAGAGGAAAAAGTGACTTGATCTAAGCAAAAATATGCTCAAATTTATCGTCGAGAGGATTTCCTTATAAATCAATAAAGAAAATAATGCCTGTTTAGAGGAAAAAGTATGCTTACATAAAAAGAAAAGTCACTTGGATCAAGCAGAAACCCGCTTTCATTCAGCTATTTTATTCTTGATTCAAAATAAAATATTCTTGACGGCATACTCAAGAATGTTTCTGCCTAAATTGAGTCACATTTTTCTCTAGTAAAATTCAAAAATTATGCTAAACGTTATTAAATACGGATGCTAGGACTAGGTAAGTTTCTTAGATTACCGCTCTCTTTTTGTAACGTAGTACCTATCTTGATTTATTTTGTAAGGAACGCTCTGTACCGTTAAAGAAAGCTTACCATTCTTGATACGTCGGAGCGCCTTCAATCTCGTATGTTACTGTGCAACACCTATGTCGCGAAATAGTTGCTTGAAAAGCCGCAGCACTCCGCGGCGCGGTAGGCGATCAGCGTGACACGCGCATAGGCGCCTACAAACCTAACAGGGATACTTCCCGCATTGCGCAACGCGTGAAGTATCTCGTTAGGTTTGTAGGCACCAGTGCGCATGTCGCTCTGTGTTAGGCTCTAATGCTTAAACTCGCGGAGTCAGCGATTTTCAACTCATGATTTTCTTCAACTTCCGCTCTGCTCGGATTATTGTCATGGGAACGGAGTTTTGTCATGGGAACGGAGTTCCCCATGATATTAGAATCGTTCCGTTGCTTTCGCTATGGGATTCCCTATACCTCTGCGACCTTGAGCGTTTCGCCCAGTCTCCGATTTTTGGTTGATTTTCCGATGTATCAAAAACCGTTGTATTTTTTAGCCAATCATGTCTCTACGTCAAGTCGTGTTGATTGCTAAAATTCGCTTTCAGCGAGTTTTTTTCCACCTTGAGATGTCGTGTCTGACTGGTAAATCTGCGCAGAACCACGAAGTTCCGTTTTTAGGCAAATTCTTTTTTTTGGGAGGTTCTGATTGGTTATTTTTCGCCATCAGTTTTCTGTTCGTTGGTGCAAAAGATCGCCTACCTCGGTGCTCTTGAGAAGCCGCCATTATCCCACCTCAAATTTGAAAAATAGAAGTAAAGAAATAATAACCATCGCACAAGGTGGAATATTGTTTTGGAGGACTCGTTACGGACAAAGAAGTCAAAATCAGAGCTCGATTGATTGATTTAATTCATGGATAAACAAATATCGTCTCTTGTGATAAGTCCCGCCCATTGCCCGAGTCTTTTGTACGCTATTTTTACTCTCTCCCACGTCGGTCCGTAATAGCCTAGTTGACTAATCCGCCTCGTATTTTTGATTAGATGCGGGCACCCGGCGATCGGGAGTTCGATGCCCGATGATGGGTGTTACTTTTTAATTGTTGTATTGAATGTTTTAGACTAATCATCAAAAAATAATTAATAATAGATGATAAATGTACGAACATTTTCTCGTGAGTTAATATGTTAAACAAAAATACTGGAATATACCTCCTTCATATAATCAGCCACATGTTCCCCCAAATTAATGACGTTATTTTCTTTTTTCAATAAAGTTAATTTGCATTCAACGTTCGTAAGTTAAGCAAAAAGTACCTATTGATACAAATAGAAAGACATGAAAATAGTATGTCTAACATTTCAGTTGTTTTTTTTATTTATTTTTTGTTTTTTTGTTTTTTCAATAAAACAAATTGACTGGGACTAGAATCATCGTATCTCTGAAGACAAAAGCTAAGTTTTTTGATGCAGAAATACTAATATATTCATCCTTTATATAATCAGGGAGATGTTGACCCAAATATTGATGTATATTTTCTCTGTTCGCCCAAATTAATGATGGTATTTTCTTTTTTCAATAAAATTAATTTACATTCCACGTTCTTAAAGCAATATTTTCTCCAATATTCAGCAAAAAATAACAATTTATACCTACGCAAAAAGTAAATAAATAAATAAAGCAATGACGTAGTATAGGTAGTAGAAAGTAGTATAGGTAGTACACATCTAACATTTCGGTTACATCTATTTGAATGAAAAAAATGGCAACTTAGGAAGCACATAGGTCACTTTATGATGCGTAATCGGGCATATGCGTAGAGTAAAAATATCATACTTTACGCCGAAAAAACGAAACTGAAAGTTAAATGCGTTAACTTCCAAAAACCATACATAATCCAACGAAAATAAATAATTGGTAAATAACAGCTTTCTTGTATGCAAAGAAAAAAAATTAAAAATGTTAAAAAAGAGATGTCGACACAAAATTACATAGCCCCTTCAATTCTGAAGATACCACAAACGAACTGTACCTTAAAATTTTCATATCCCAGAAGCAAAAGTTCCCATGACGAATATTGCTATCGCTAGCGATTGCAAAAACCAACTTGTTCTCATTTAAATTGATGAAAAAAAAAATGAATTGAAGGAAAATATAACGCGTGATTTGAAAATATTAAGGTGGTCCTGTGTCTAATTTAATGATTCCCAAAGCTCTTTAATTTTTCTTTCATATTTTGTGCTTTAACTGTGCTGCAGCATGGTGTATTCGCAACCAAACTCTCAAAATTGGTCGTGTTTGACTGTAAAAGATCAATGTAAGAGTGGGTTAAAATCAAAGATTGCGTCCTCCTTGGTTTTTTCTCTCCTTTTCATTTTTGTATAGTTCCTTTCAACACAAGTACGGCTCATTGAGATTGATATCGATGCCATCGCTTAGAATAGTTTTACAAATATTTGCCACGTTTTAAGAATATAATGTTCTTAAAATGAAATAATATTATCATTCAAAAAAAGGTTTATATAAACGGTATATTTTAAATCGACAATTTTTTAGATAGAAATAAAACCAAATATTCACCAATGAAAATTTGAAAGATGAATCAAAAGAAGAAAGTACATATAACATTTCATTTAAAAAATGAGTTACCATAACAACACATTCTTCTCTCTAAATTTCTGCTACTTCGATATTGCCAATATAATGTTACATACGGTCTGAAATATAACCTTTGTTTTAACTTTTTTCGACAAATACATCCGTAAAGCGTGCAAGGAGTATCCAAGGAAAAAAGCACATAAAAATTATGTTTAAAAGTTTTTATTGAATGATAAATCAGTTACTTTTTTCTATGGAATTTGAGCACTCGATTTGTGAACATCGAATTTGGTATCAATGGTACATGACTTTAGCTTCTTCAATTGTTTTATTCATAATACATCACAGTTCATGTCTAAAGTAATGTAACATTCGAATTTACAATAGAGTAAAGGGACATATCTTTCGAAACCCTTATTTCTTCTAGAAAAAAAATTCCGAACACTCCGGAATAAAAGTCATTTGATTATACCTGCGTCTTTCATGTCCATCGCTTTGTTCATCAAAGGACCACTAGACAAGGTACGAATTTAAGCAATCTGATACATGTTTCTTAATCAGAATTTCACGTAAAACACGATTAGCGCAATGAATATTACTGAAACTAACTCTTAACGAAGATATCAACGTTTTTATTTCACATTGGGTACGAGGAATTTGAACTGCCCGCTCACAAGAAACTCAAAGTTCTACGTGAGTCAAATCGCGCACTACAACGGTTTCAGCAAGCTTCTTAATTGAGCAATGTTCATTTCTCACCATGTGTTGTTCAAATTATGAGCAATTTGCTATAGCTGAGCCAAAGCGTCAAAATTGAGGTTGCCACATTTTTAAATCGCAGATACTGCCATGATAACGTTTAGCGCGCAATGTGAATCACGTAGAGCATTGAGTTTTCATGAGCGGGTGGTTTGAATTTACGAATCAGGAATCATTAAGTATCTTCGTAAGCAGTTGATTTCGGTATTTTTCGTCGACCGCATCGTGTTTTACGTGAAATTTCGGTTAAGAAACATGAATCAGAATGCTGAAATTCGTACCTTGTCTAGTGCTCCATTTCAATAATAACCAGATGGGTCGCTTCTTTGTCCATCGCTTTGTCAAATAACTTCGATAATCAGCCCGCTGGAGGATGAGAGCTGAAGCACCGGGCGTATCACCTACATATAACTCCATCGACGAATCCCAACATTAAACTCCGACCAAATATACGCTTGACTCAAATTGGTACAACGAAACGATGCCCACCCCTGAAGAGGGAGGGCAGCGGAGCCTCCGAAACATCGCACAGTGGATCGAGTCAATGGGAAAAGTTGGACAAAATTGGGAAACCTACAAAGCTGATAACTCCGTTAAATCAAAACTTTGAGACTTTAAACATGATCCCGTAGGTTTCCTCGTGAAATTTTTCTCTAAAGGCATCCCTGAAAGTTTAAAATGTGACGAAAGAAACATCAAAATTTGAAATTTCAGCCAAAAACTTCCCGTCCGACCTCTCCTATTGGCTCGATCCACTCTGCATCATCCGGACATGAAATGGAGAATTTGCATGCACATTTTTTGTTGCTTCATCTGAAAGTGCTTAAATAGCTGAATTCGCAATATTTTTCATAATTTTTTTCTGATATGGGAAATAGTATAAAAATAGATTTAAAAGAGAGAAAATGCTCCGCCTAGTGACGTCATCTGGCGGCATTTCCCATTATAACAAATGTATTTTAGAAGATTAGATCATTATGTCATATCCTCTCCAATAATTGTTCAATTCATGAACCAAGGGTATCCTCGTGTTCAGTTTACTCAGTAACTTCTACTGAAACACGAAATTCATCAAATTTTAGACACCTGCAAATTCTCTATTACGTTAGAAAAGTTTTGAGTTTTTTAATTTTAGTGATTTTAGTCGTAATTGGACGTATATCTGCCAAACGCTACCAGTGACGGGTGGGGAAGAAGGGGTGTGCTCGTTAGTCAATGGCCATAAGAATGAATGGGAATTATAAAGCGCCAGTGACGTCAGCAGCAACGAAGGCGTCTCCATTGTCGCTCTCGGTCGGCATTAACTCATAAGCCCTGTACACAACGCTCTTTGCTCATGCCCATACGGCTCATGAGTGCCGCTTTTAGTTGGCACATAGTTCCGTTTGACAAAATTTAAAATCAGCTTTTCCATTTCTCCAGAGGGAATCATGCCCATATCAACATTGTTTCTAATGTAGCTTCCTAGAGCACACCCCATTTTTCCCACTCGTTTGTAGTTCTACTTGACAGAAATGCGTCCAATACGTCAGTTGCTCTAATCGCAGAATCGTGTTTGTATGCTTGATTCCTGTAGATCACCTAAAAATAATAAAATCCGTCCAGCAACTTTCTACGTTTAATGTTGACCAAGATATCGCTCCTTGAACAATCCGATTTGTGACGTCATCCACCGTGGTATTCATACCCTTGGTTTCTTCCACCTGGCTTTCATCAGTCGGCGTGACGCACATTTGCACTGATTGTTCAACGTGAAACTCGGATAAAAGCAAAGTGGAAGAAACCACTGGTGTCACTACCGCGGTGGATGACGTCTTAATTCTTCGGACTTTTCAAAGGGCGGTATCTCGGTTAATATCGAACGTAAAAAGTTTCTGATCAGACAATTCTTATTATTTTGAGCCAATCTACAAGAATCATACATCAAAACACGATTCTGTGACTAGCGCAGCTGACCCATTTAATTTTTTATCCTCGTTTCTTAGCCTTGTTTGATTACAATTGGACGTATTTCTGTCTAACGGAACTATATGTGCATTAAGACATGAGCCTTGAGACCCGTAAGGATATATGCATAACAAGGCTCACGTCATAATGCACATAGTATTCCGTTTGACAATAAAACGTCCAATTTATAATTGAAATAATTTGAGCCAATCTACAAGAATCATACTTCAAAAACACGATTCTGTGACCAGCGCAACTGACCTATTTAATTTTCTATCCTCGTTTTTTAGCCTTCACTGGAAAAAAGCACATTGGATCTAGAGTCCAGACTCTTAAAAACATCAACAAGAAAAAATACTCTTGATTCAATCAGAATCTAGCTTAAATCAAGAACCAAGCCTGTTAATTTAAGCGGGTTTCGTTTTTATTCGAGCAAAAATCCGATTGAATCAAGAGTATTTTTTCTTGTCAATGTTTTCAAGAGTCTGGCCTCTAGATCCAATGTGTTTTGTTTTCCAGTGATCTACAAGAATCATTCATCAAAACACGATTCTGTGACCAGCGCAACTGCCCTATTTAATTTTCTATCCTCGTTTCTTAGCCTTGTTTGATCATAATTTTAATTAAACTACAAGTTGGATTTCTCGGTTGGACTTGGACTGCCTGCAGAGGAACCACGTGACAACTCCGACGCCGACGACAACCGCAACAGCGAGGACGATCCACCCGATGGTCTCCACGATGGGGTTGGGGGTCTCCGGGTCCGGGTACTTGGACTGGAGGCTGATGGCCAGGTAGGGTGGCTCGGTTGCGGGGGCGGTGCAATTGTTCGACGACCGGATCATCCCCGGTAACGAGACTTCGATGCTCCCGTCTTCCTTCACTTCCACCCTCCGCTTGAGTCCGCCCATGCACATCTGGTGGTGCTGGCAGAAGTAGCCCGTCGCCAGGTCGCAGTACAAGCCCGCGGGTAGGGGCACCTGCGTGGAAGAAATTGATCACTAGGCCATGAAAGAATTTTGACTTGCAAATACATTATTACAAAAGTTAAAGACGAGTACTGAGTACTGCCGTGCTAAGGAAGAACGCCGTATGAGCCTTCAGGCATTGCCAAATTTCCTTTGATAAAACAGGAATTTCATGGTAAACTTATGCATATTTTCCTTCCAATTTTCCAGATAATTTTGTTTGCAATTTCACCTAAAGTTCCTGAAAATTTCAAGGAAAAATATCAATAACTTTCCTCAAAGTTAACGTTTTATCGGAGGAAATTTGGCAACTCTCGAATGTTCATACGGCGTTCTTCCTTAGCACGGCAGAGTAGAACCAATACCACTTACCCATACTGCCGTGCTAAGGAATTACGCCGTATGAACATTTGAGAGTTGCAGAATTTCCGTCGATAAAATTTTCATTTTTGAGGATCAATATGAACATTTTTCATTGAAATTTTCAGGAACTCTAAGTTGAATTGCGAACAAAAATATTTGAAAAATTGGAAGGAAAATATTCATAAGTTTACCGGGGAATTTGTGTTTTATCAAAGGAAATTTGGCAACGCCGTATTGTGATACTCCCCGCTGCCGCGAGAGAGTATCACAATATGAACCTTCAGGCTTTGCAAAATTTTGGTGGTAATTCTTATGTTCTTCTTTTACATTAGATATTCGATCGAAAATAATCGATTTTGTATCGAAAAAGTGACCCGGCGTCACACAGGAGTCTCGGAATTCGAGACCTGGAAAATGGTTAAAAGTGGCGCCAGCTCTTCCACTTACATTACGACTCTACGTACTCTATGAAGATGGAGATGGAGAATCGCTACAGCGAACGTTAATGTTAGCGCCTAGATAAAGTGGATACAACTATACGTACTTTTTGGATGTGCTCGTTGCCTATGCAACGCGCTTGAAGGCGTTTTGGTTTCCTTTGCGCACACTATCAGCAAGCGCATCTAATTCATGAAATATTCTGAATGCAATATTTCGTGCCCCGATAAGGATACTATCAAGAGCTAAAAGGACACTCAAGGATTAAATTTGACGAGAGTTTACAACTAAACAAATTCGTGGTCTACCTTGAAAGTTTGTTTTAACGACTTCACGTCTGCGTTGAATACAGCGAAACCTTTCTGGCCCCTGATAAATGCTGCTTGAAGGGGAGATCCGTTTGTCCAGTCACTAAACCATGTCTCTACCGGTGCGTCTAAAAACCGAAACAAAGGCTAATTATAGAGAGGAAGTAATTTGAAAGTCTCGATGTTTTTCGTGCATCAAATAAAGTTTGTATATATCGTCGTTTCCCTGACGAAGGAACGTAACTTGATTCCAAGGTTGCAAAATTTCCTCATACCATTCCATTTTTTACAAGAATGTACCTGTGTAATTTTCGACCAAAATTGTGCTGATTTTTGTTTGAGATCAAATGAAAAATCGGTAAAATTTCAAGTTAGGAATGCCCACGATTCTACAGTCAAAACTGCAATTTGCGAGGGAAAAGTCAACAACATCGAAATGTAGTCATGTTCTTTCGTAGGGGAAACGACGATATAATCTCACTTTTAGCAGTTTTTTTTTTTCCTTTTCTTCTTTATGTTTTTGTTTTTACCTTCCTCGTTCTCTCCTGCAAAGGTGTCGCTGGCCGTAGTTTCCAAGTCACTGCTTCAAAATGGACAAATATTACTGATACTACTACTTCCTGTCTTATCATTTTTCTCCATCTCCCTTTTCATTATATTTTTCTTTTTAATTTTATATCTTCTTGTGTGTGTTAATTAGTTTGTTCCGCTCTATTTGACATGTAATTGTCCTTTTTTTCTCTTTTTCATCAGTTAGACAAAGACATTTCCACAAATATTTATACAAATCCGTTAAAAGTATATTTTTTAAATATATTGATGGTGACGAAAAATGACGGAAACTTGAAATGATCGGAATTAAGACGAGTATTCCTTTAAATTTCCCCACAACTATTCTCAGTCATGAAATCACCTTGAACAAAGTTGGTGAAAAACTTGATAATCCACTGAAGAGGTTTAAATCTGTGTTCGCACATCCAGCCGTCAGAGCAGTTTAGAGGGTTCTTGATTTCTTCCGTTTCCTCATTCATTGGCGGTCCTGCGTTCTGATCCGTATAGCTGTAGCCTGAGAAGATGCTAGGTATGTCCGTTGTAAATGTCAAAATAAACGCGTCCATAACCTGTGTATGCAAAATAAAAGTAACTTGCTAGTGTTTTTGTCTCATTTTTTTTTGCAGGCAATTAAGTATAAAGATCAGACTCAATCACAATGAGCATCTTAACCGGAGTCATCTGGAAAATTCAGAAGACGAAGAGTAAGCAGAAGAAGAAGAAGGAGAGAAAGAAACATAGAAACAGAGGAGAAGGAGAATTAAAAAGAGAATGAGACAAGGGAAGAAGGTAAACTAAAGAGAAGGAGATAGAGGGAAGAGGGAGAAGTAGACGGAAAGAGAGCAGGAGACAAAAATATTGGAAATGAGGGAGAAAAAGGAGAAAGAGAATTAAAAATGGAAGGAGAAGTGAGAAGAGAGGAAGATTAAGCTGAGAGAAGGAGGAGCAGAAATAGAAGGAGGGAAAGGAGGCAAATAAGAATAAGAACAAGTACATGAAGAAGATGAAGAGGAAGAAGGGGAGGAAGAAGGAGAGAAAGGATCTGACGAGGTAGGAGAATTTTTCTTTTTTTCTGCTCCATCTATCTTCGTCTTCTCCTTTCTCTCCTTCTTTTCTTCTTCTTAAATATCTTCTCATTTACCACGATTTCCTCTTTCTCCTATTTGTTTCGTGAATCATTCCTCCTCTCGTTCTTGCTTTTATTTTTTCTTATCATCAATCCTCGTTTTCTCCTTTTACCTTTTTTTCTCTTCTTAATTTCACTTATTATTCTTCCTCTCCTCCTCCTCTTGTTCCTCTTGTGCGTAGTCTCTCCAGTCTTCATCTACACCTCTTCCCATCAGATTTCTTCATCCGACATTTCAACGGTCAAAGTGCGAAACCACACCTCCGTTTGCAAAGTTGCAGACTTCCTGTCATACTTTATTTTTTCTTTGGAGATCTGGTCGATGTATTGTCTTGAAAACTTCCTTAATTTATCTTCTATGCCAGAGGAATATTCTGCAGAAATGTCAAGCTTTAAACTTGAGTTCCCGCTCTTTGAAAAAATAAAGTAGGAGCGGAGTTTTTAAAACATCTCAAAGGAAGTACGTGGTGTTGCCCTTTGGCCATCGATATGATGAGAGTCGAAACACTCGAGTCTGAACCGTTCTCTTTTGACACAGTAGATACTAATTATACAACACATGCGACTCATTGCTAAAATGTAATTTTACGAATGAAGTTGAAAAAAAATTGAACAGTTTGAAGTGATACTCTTAGATTGCATCACTGATTACGCATTTTGCGAATACATGAATGAATACCGCGATTTTTGCACACGGCACTCCTTCCTCTCCTCACTTCCTGGCGTACCTTGCGATATATCGAGTAATCTACCATTTAAACCGATGGAAAAGGATCGATTAACAGGCTGTTCGCAACGAACACCTTAATAATCGATTCATCCTCATGGCTTCAAATGGGGAACTATCGATGATCGATCATTTATGCCTCGTCACTGGTCGTAGCACACGTTTCATATGGTTAAGAGGGCTGTCAACTCGTGATTTCTTCTTGCAAACTAATGATAAAACCAACGCACGGGCCTCGAGAAAGTTATCTCGGTGAGGGCTTTTTCAAATATGCGGTACATACGGCGTTTTCTGGCTAAAAACGAAAAGAGCATGCGCTGCGGAATGTGCGCGGAGGGTAAGTTCGCCTTCAAAATTCTTTTGTGCAACAATAATTATCTCATCGAAAACGTTTGTTTACGTCGCCCACGAATCTTGTTTTGCAGTGAGTTAAGATAAGTTCGTCGCACCCTGACCATGTTGATGTTTTATTTCTATCCAAGTCTATCTAAAATGAATGTCAGTAGCGTGGCGTGCTTTGCGGTGTATTGATTGATCTACCATTTAAACCTATGGAAAAAGATCGATAAACGAACACCCACAATGAACACCCTGTTTATCGATTCTTCACCACAGCTTCAAATGGGGGAATATCGTTATTGGATCATTGACGCCTCGCCTTTGTAGAATATTGTAGATAAAAATAATAATAGGACTATTTTTGCTAAAAGAAACTATTTTGCACGCAAACCATATGCAAATAGTTCCTTTTGGCAACGTCCAATTCACTCTCAGTCTTTTTTGGAGTCATTACACCCCCCCCCCTTCCCCTTTGTGGAAAGAATCAGCTCCAGTGTGAAATACATTCCAAATCCATTTCGATATTTCTTACGATGAACACTATATGTTAAGGAAGTAAAACCCGGAAATGCCACAAATTTGGATAGAGTTACAAAATGAAGTAGAACTGGCTCAATACAAAGCTAGGTAGGGGGGGAGCTCTCATTCTTGCACTGATGAGTATTATATTTTTTCGTGACTCTAAATTTTAAATTTTGGTATTTCTGGCTTTGATTTTACTTCAAATAGGGCCTTGTCTCCACGAGCCGTTTCACGAGATTTGTCCCAGGGAAAAATCCCACTTACGAAGTTGGGAAAAATATTGAGTTAATCAATATTTTTCCCAGTATCCCAGTACCAAGTATGGTACTTATACCCCTAGGATCCACTGAACGAAGAAGAAGAAGTGAAAACTAATTGTGCGATATTTTATTCATTACTACATTGTTAATGTTTGTTTCGTTGAAATAATGTGTCTAATGGGCCTGTTGCAAACTTTTGCTAGAGCAGAATGAAGAGTTGTTTCCCATAGATAATGCCTCAAAAATCACGATGAGCGCATCGGCAAAGTCTGAAATGCACTCATAAATTCACAATCTGCGTAAGAAAATTGCGTTATTTTGAGCTTCCCGCTTCAAAAACGATACTACTGCACAGGTGAACATTTTGTTAGAGGAGTCGCTCCATCGTCGGCAATATTCATCATGGCCGACGCTTGCGCAGTTCCTCGCGTAATTCGAGGAGAACTCAAGGTCAATTAAGGCGGGCGAGGAAAATATGAACGTAAACACGCCGATTGTTATCTGGTTTAATCCTGTTTAGGTGTTATCTCGTTCCATCACACGTGTTTTGGCGGACTGGCGTCGGCCATGATGAGTATTGCCGCCAATGGAACGGCTCCTCTAACAAAATGTTCACCTGTACCGTAGTATCGTTTTCGAAGCGGGAAGCTCAAAAAATCGCAAATTTCTTACGCAGATTGTGAAGTTATGAGTGCATTTCAGACTTTGCCGATGCGCTCATCGTGATTTTTGAGGCATTATCTGTAGAAAACAACTCTTAGTTTTGCTCTGGCAAAAGTTTGCAACAGGCCCATTGTCAATTGAGTGCAATTTTTATTTTAATCCAGGTTAAATACTCGACTTTAACTAATTTATCTTCCCGCGCAAACCAGTCGCAGAACTGTATGAGCCCCGTCCCGTGGAGACGGTAACTGGGAAAAATCCCAGAAGTTTCATTCCTGCGATTCGAACTTGGGACAAATCCCATGAAAACGTCCCGTGGAGACAAGGCCTAGTTTGAACCCAGCATTATTAAACTACCCTGTCAATTTCTAAAAAATAATTTTGAAAATCCGGATGTAATTTTGACCTGTAAAGTAAGGTAAAAATGTATCACCTCCTGTACTCCGCTACGATCCGGTTCGCTTGAGAATCGGTCGATCCATTCCCTACGTTGCTCGTCTTGATTTGACGTCAGTGCCACTCTTTTTTTACTCAAGTATCGTGGCTGCTTGACTGGAAAACAGAGAGGACAATGAAACCCTTTGACTCTTAGATGCCCAAACCAGGTCAATCTACAAAATTATTGATTAAAAATTCGAGGTACAAGCAAAAATAAATACTATAATATAATATTTATTTTGGCTTGTGGATTTTTTAAATCAATAATTTTGTCTTTTTAGCTTATTGTTAGCCAGCCAAATTTGACACTAAAATGTATCAATCTTCAAATAAATTTTAACAAATTGAAAAAAAAACGGGTCTCACCGAAATTTTCTTGACAACTACCGCTCGAAATCCCAAGCTATGTCACATTGACCCTAATACCTCTTCTGGGAGAGTTGCGGGGTCGGTACTTACAAGCTACGTCTACAAATACACCCTAAAAGAAGAATTAGACATCAAATTGAAAAAAAGTGTCAATACAGCCGAAGATAAAAGAGACGTATTCGTACCTCGTTTTTCAACTTTCCTCCCTAATCGGAACGACGCGACGCCCCATTCTCAATATGGAACAAAGCATTGCGGGATAGCGCCTGACGCCTTCAATTTTGCTGATGCAACATGGACACCCATCATGCACGAATAGTTGTATCTCTGCGCCGTCATCAATGCGGATCCTTCCCTTGCTCTATTACGATATTGTGCAAATGTGTGTTCCCGTTTGTCTTATTTCGTCGCCCTTCTGACTTAAAGGTGTATCTCAATTTCCACGTGAGCCCTCTTTTACATACGAGTCCATGCTCTCTGGGGCTCATTTTGAAATCGAGATACACCCTTACGTCGGAGGAGCGACGATTTGTGACGGTGCCTCAAGGACTACGTGGACAACCTAGCCGAAGACCGGAGAGACGTAGTTGCTTACCTTAGTTTCACTGGAAAAAACACATTGGATCTAGAGTCCAGACTCTTAAAAACATCGACAAGAAAAAGTACTCTTGATTCAATCAGATTTAAGCTTAAATCAAGAACCCAGCCTCTTAATTTAAGCGGATTTCGTTTTGATTCAAGCGAAAATCCGATTAAATCAAGAGTATTTTTTCTTGACAATGTTTTCAAGAGTCTGGCCTCTAGATCCGATGTGTTTTTTTTCCAGTGTTTAACATTTCTCCCGAATCCGAGCGACAACTTTTGGTGGCATAAAACGGAGGAGATCCTCTCTTTGGAAGATTTTCTCGATAATTTCCCGATGGAAGTAAATTACTTTTGAGGTTAGAGTGCACGTACTTCCAAACATTTTCTAAGAAGTGTCAAGGCGTATCTAATCCCACAAACTTTTGGAAACCCTTCGTCTTACCGTATTGGTAGATGCTTGCCAGGGATGAGTCCATTTTCTTGAAAACCCTCTTTACTCTTGCTAGAAACTCAAATTCATACTCGGATCCGATGTCCTTGTAATCATCTTGGTAGGAGCCTGGAATGAAATATCACATTTACGGAAAGTGGTCATGGATTATTTGAATAAAGTTAAAAGGAAATCGGTATGTGTCATCTGTGTCCAAGATTTTCTATAAAATCTGGAGGATCTGAAGCCCTAAGAGCGCAAAAAATATCGGAGTTTCAGGCAAGACAGCAGTAAGTGACATTGACATATTATTTCTCAAGAGAGTCAATGAAAACGGTGCTTTCAAGTTAAGTGTCGCCCTCTTCTGCCAATTTCTAACCTGAAAATGTGTTTGTTGTGTGTCCAAAACGCAACCACGAAAGCATGGCGAGGATGGCACTTACGGCTGTCTTGCCTAACACTAGCCTAATATGAAAATGAAAAAAAACCATTTTTGTGTAAATGAAATAAATTCAGTCTATGTTTAATCATCCAATGCTTTATAGGAGTCTTTCGGATGGTTAGTAATAATTTGACAAATAACGGAGGCTTCTTCCGCTTAAATTTTCCGGTCAGAAGCTTCTGAGCCTGTTTTCTCGATACTTCATTTTTGCACTTACTGCTCTCTTCACTATCACGGTAGCACAATTAGGTGTTATGAGACAAAATAGCCGGGCAATAATTCACTGCCCCTCCCTCCCTCCATTCCCTCTCTGCGTATAAAAATAAAAAATAAAAGGAAAGTAAAAGAAAGTAAAAGAAATATAATCTGCATCTCACCATCCTCATCGTGAACTTCTAGCATCCACGTTGGTCGAAAAGTGGTTTTCCCATCGTTCAAAGACACATCTCTCAATTTACTGTGTATTGCTTGCAAATCCCTCGGCCACATATGCATGGCTGCATCTACCCTAGGAATTCGTAATAATACATGTATAAAATATATGTAATTTTACGAAGGAGGAAGAGCCTTGGAGCACAAATGTTTGGGTTATCAATTTTTGTCAAATTCGGTTTTTAAAAAAAAATTCAAAGAAATCGTTTTTTCTACAGTAGACTCTGGATTATCCGGATTAATTGGTGCCGGGCCCGATCCGGATGAAAAATAAATCCGGATAATGATAGTAAACACAAACGCTACCAACCAACACCACAGTATTCTTATTATGTATACATCATGTACATACCAAAACGAATTTAAAAGGTTAACGCCAAACTGAACGACTCAATTGTGATTGTGAATGGTAGCCGACAACGATAAATTACAATACGACGATTAAAGCGCGCAATGCGTGAAGTATTCATGCAGTCTTGTAGCCGCTAATGTGCGTTTTAGGCTAACTAACCGACTGCACTGCGTTTGGCGTAATGCGAGAAGTATTTATGCAATCTAGTAGGCGCTAATGCGTTCCACGCCGACCTCACTGTTTAGCACAATGCGTGAAGTATTCCTTCAGCCTTGCAGGCGCCAATATGCCTTGCGACCACTTCTCCGCGGATCCGCTCACTTATCGGAATGCGTACGTAGTTACATGGTTGCAAAATCGATCCGGATAATCCAGAGTCTACTGTATTTTGAAAAAAATATCTCTGATATTGTGAACGGCAACTGCACGTAGTTGAGTTCATCTTTCCTCAATGGGAGGCTTGAAGTTTCGACAATTTTAAGCTCCGAATGTGATAGTTTTTTCTACTAAAAATTTCAAATCGTCATGATTCCCCTATGTTTATTACGATTTTCGGCTTCTTCATTGATACCCGAAAAAATTATACAAATCTGCCACTTAGATCTTAAAACGGACCATGGCAGGAACTGATCATTTAATTATTGGATAAGAGAAATTCAGAATTTCATCTAATAATATCGAATAACCTGGGGTATTTAAAAAAAAATTATATAGAACTGGCTCATATTGAACAGCTCATTAAGACGTTATTATTTCGTCACTTTCCGGCAAAAGTATCAGAAGCACCATGCGACGTTTCAAACTTTCCTCCGCCATTTTATTTTTTTACAGAGAAATTGTCTGTTGATTCTGTTCGAAAATTTCACAAATTTTATCGGCAGCACAAAGAAAATTCAGTGAAATTTTCGAACAGCTTCGTTGAACAGTTTCTCTGTAAATTAGAAAATTGCGGCGGAAATTTTGAAACGTCGCGCTTGTGATGCTTTGGCCGGTAGGTTACGATTTATTGATGGACAAAAAAATTATAAAAATTGGCCCAATGAATTCCTAGAGATATTTATGACTAAAAACTAAAAGTTCAGGAAACCAGAGGAATTTATGATTTTTTCGTGTATATATTATGCAATTCCAATGTTGTGTTGTGATAATATCACGGAGTCATGGTCAGAAGAATAGATTTCATACCGGAAGCCGGCGACACCATATGAGATTAATTTGTTCAAGTATTCCACAATCTTTCCTCGGACGTATTCCTGTGATTGATCCACATCCTGCAGACCGCTTAGCTCACAATTCCGCACCTTAATGAGACGAAGAAAAATAAATGGGGTAAAATGAATGATATTAAAAACTAATCGTTGCAACCACAGGAAATCAAATGTAGATCTATTTTCTCATAATAATAAGTACAAATAGTTGGAATGCATTTTGCAATTTGGACCTAAAAATTCTGGCTTATCTGAAAAAACACTTATGTGAATAGGGAAACTAATGGCACATACGTTGTTTTTAAACCGGGCCGGAACTTATAGTTCTTAATTGGAAAATGTAGTCCAGTTGATCCCTCTCCTATTTGTTAAATTTTAGAAAAACAAAAATTTACGCTAAGAAAAAAAATTCGGCCGCATGGAATGGAGCTGGGTTTACATTGAGCACCGGAAGATCAGAGAAAAACCGAGGTTTTTGGGCATTGGAACCGAATTTTGATTAACTGAACTAGAGTCCGGTCTCTGTGACCGAAGCTTCGATTACCCGACCAAAAAAATGTTACTGTTCAATGTGAAGCGAAAATGTCTCAACACCGAACTTCAACGTCCGATGCAAGCAAAACATGACGGTCCTACAAAAACGGGAAATGGACCACTACACAAGGCACGAATTTCAGCATTCTGATACATGTTTCTTAACCAAAATTTTACGTAAAATACAACGCGCACAACGAAAATTACCGAAATCAACTCCTTCCAAAGATACTTAATGATTCTTGATGCGTGAATTCAAACCACGCGCTCATGAAAACTCAATGCTCTGAGTAATTCACGTCGTGCGCTGAACGTTATCATGACAGTCTCTGTGATATAAAAATCTGGCAACCTCAATCTTGACACTTTGGCTCAGCTGTAGCAAATTGCTTATAGTTTGAACAACACATGGTGGGAAATGAACATTGCTCGATTGAGAAGCTTGTTGAAACCGTTGTAGTGCGCGATTTGACTCACGTAGAGCTTTGAGTTCCTTGTAAGCGGGCAGTTCAAATTCCTCGTAACCAATGTGAAATAAAAACGTTAATATCTTCGTTTAGAGTTTGTTTTATTAGTTTTCGTTGCGCAAATCGTACTCTATGTGAAATTCTGGTTAAGGAACATGTATCAGAATGCTTAAATTCGTACCTTGTCTAGTGGCCTATTGTGACACTCTTCGCGTCAAATGATGCAGAATTTATCCCTCTGAGCTGTGGCACAGTATACCTATCTCATATAAGTAGCTTTGCACCTCTAGAGCCCATTTGTCTTCCTCTGTTATAAAGTACGTCACTATACGGACATAACACGGATTTAATCGGAATCAGCTTAACTGGATTTCACTTTGCCTAATTTCTTCTTATGTTTTGTTTTGTTAAAAAGCAAACTGAATAACACAATGCCTTGAAATTTTTTGATAATTTCCCTAGAATTTTGAAGGAAGAACGAAGAAGAAAAAAATAACAATAAAAAAACAATATTTCAAGTTGGATTATCTCCTAATTTTCTGTTGAAAAATAAAGCACGAGTAGAAATTTGACAACGCCTAGTGCAGTTGGGCTCATTCTGCAAGTTGGCAATGCTGTTTTTTCCTCCATTTAAATCCATTAAAAATATCGATTTTGGGTGCAACAAGCAGCCTAATCAAGAATCGATTGTTTTTTATACATTTAAATGAAGGGACTTAGTGTTGCAAACTTTCAAGAATATGCACTTCGTGAGGATTGCCATAACATTTTACACAACAATATTACTTTTAGCCTTAAGTTATACCGTTACTTTGTCCTTCCAATTTATCTGACAGGTCGTGTGAAAATTTTCCCGATTGAATCCAAGGCCTGGATATGATTTGAGGTTTACGTCAGCTCTCGTACCTCCCACTCCTTCCACCATTCCGCCATAGATAGAACCAGTTGCATGATTGAGAACAGTGTCCACGTACACCCTGAATAATAAAAATTATACTCTTTAATTCATGCGTAGTTAAGGCCTAAAAAAATATTAAAAACTGGGGATCTAATTGTTAATACACACTTTTAATTTTTAGCACTAAGTCTGAATGTAATCTCCAGCCTCCTAAAAGATTTCAAGAAAAGCAAATTTCTTTCTGAAATGGGTAAAGCGATTTTCGAGAAGAATGCATTTTTCCGCAAAATTGATGCACGACAGTGGAAAACCAAGGTCACTTTTTGAGATAGTAGCCAAAAACGCACAGGAGAACAGAATATCGGACGCCAAGAAGATTTTCTCCGCTGCTGTGTCTTTAAAAGAGATTTTTTTGGTCAAATGGCATACAATCTGCTTATGCGCCGTATGTATTTGCGGTTCATTCTGAAAAGGAGGATAAAAAGCCGGATAAAATTCAAAAATTAGAATCAGAGTTATAACCCTTACCTCACATCGTTCTTGTTGCACTCCTCAACCATCTCTTTAAACTGTTGCTCCGTGCCCAGCCTAGAGATTATATCCCATGACAATGGTTGGTATCTTTCGTACCAAGGTCTCCTGATATTACCGGCCTTTTTGATCAGTATATGTTCATTGACGGACTGCACCTGCAAAAATCGAGATCGCACAAAACTTGAGGATACATTTTGAAGTTTGAATACCATCTATCGAATCATCTATTGTCACCCATCCCAGGTAGCAATGATCGCGATAACTTGCGATTTGATCGGAGAATGTATCGCGATTTTATCCACGTTGATTTATTACAATGTTATAGGGTAAAAAAATTGTGATTTCATCGCAGAAATTTGTAAAAAAGCATGATAAATTGAGGTAAAATTTCGATTTGATGGAACGCAATTTTATAGAGATAAAATTGAGACAAGATTTAGGAGTATCGCTGTGATGTTGATGATCTTAGAGATTTTATTTATTGTAATTTCTGTACAGAAAACCAATGAAATATTGAAATTTAAAAAAAAAATTATTGCTAAAAAATTGTCAAAAAATCGCAATTTAATTTCAAAATATCGCGATAAATATTTCCGTTGAAAAATGCTACTTGGAATTGTCTCTATTGAATGCCACTCCCAAGTCTCATCAGGGAGGCGAGAACTCAGGTCAAGCACGATTCGTAGTTGAGTGGTCAAAATGTTGTTATTGAATGAATTCAAGAGGCATCCGTCAATACTCCACAAAGAGAGCATTTTTAAAGTAAGTGCATGTTTAGAATATCTATAGAACCAGTTACGTTCTATCATATTGACGACAAGGCTCTTCAACGGTATACACTTGGTCAGCGGGTCAGTTGCGCTGGTCTCAGAATGGTGTTTTGATGCTTGATTCTTGTAGATTAGCTCAAAATAATAAGATCTGTTGAATCTGCAACTTTCTACATTCAAAATTAATCGAGATATCACGCTTTGAAAAATTCGATTATGACGTCATCCACCGCGGTAATGACACCCTTGGTTTCTTCCACCTTGCTTTCATTCGAGTTTCACGTTGAGTAAACCAATGCGAATGTGCGTAACACTGATGATGGAAAAAAAGTGGAAGACACCAAGGGTATCACTACCGCGGTGGATGACGTCAAAAACCCAACTTTTCAAACGGCAGTATCTCGGTTAATATTGAACGTAGAAAGTTGCTGTTTAGGTAGGTCTTATTATTTTTGGCTGAAGTACACGAATCATCGTAACACGATTCTGTGACCAGCACAACTTACCCATTTGCAAATCCCTAATTTTTGAAATTGAATCGTGCATTTCGGAAAAGGTCAAAAACGAGTAAAATCATTTTTGCGGGAACGCAAAAAAATTACCAGAGAGAGAAAATTAGAGTGCAGGAAAAATTGTCTCTTCGGTGTCGAGGGACCACAACACGAAAGAGAAATTATAAGCCCTGTAATTGAAACTTGTTCTCTATAAATTGTTACCATAAGAAAATTTTCTATCATAATTTCCAAAAGACTGACTCTTTCGAAGGAACCGAGAATTGTGCCTTTCTTCTCATTGTAAAATAAGAAAAAGATGAATGCCCCGATGAAAAAGTAGAACCCTTAAAACCACTCACTTTTCCTCCCAATTTCACTGGATGCCTAACTCGGTTTAAGGTGATTCGATGGACGCTACATTTTGTGTTAGATCGACATGCTATACATCGCATTGATTAGATCCATTTTTTCAGCTACTTGTCATTTTTCTCCAATTTTGAGATCGCAATTCTGTTGTCAGAAGACTAAAGAATTCACTTACCAATTTTGACCACTAAATTCAACGTGATAAAGGTGTGGTTTTCTCAGAGGAAAAATATCGCATTCGAGTTGCATTTCGATATCAATATCGAATACTATATGTTTCTTCTGAAAACACCACGCCTTTATTACGTTAAATCTGTTAGTCAAAATTGGCAAGTGAATTCTTTAGTCTCCTGACAACAGAATTGCGATCTCCAAATTCGATAAAAATGACGGGTAGCTGAAAAAAATGGAACCAATCGATGCGATATATGGCATGTCGTTCTGACACAAAATATAGCGTCCATCGATTAACTTTTTAAATACTTTTAGAAAATAAAATGCACGGACAGGAACTAACCAAGACGCCTCCAAATTTCTGGGGGCCAAGAACCATTTTGCACTCCTCTTTGATGGCGTTGAATGGCCACTCGAATAAATGAACGATGACCCGTCGATCTCCACTCATGCCTGTGTCAAATTGACCCATCGTTGAGTGCAAACATAATAGAATAATGAGATATTTGGACAGCAGCTCCATCTTCCTGTAATCAGATAATTACGACCAGTCGAATTGGATAACTAAAGAAACCACATCTGTAAAATATACTAAAATTTTATATTATTTCCAAATGGGATAAAAATTGGGACTCTTCATAGAAAAAAAAACCCTCAGTCCACAAAACTCAAGATCAAGTACTTGATATCTGTACAAAGAGGATCATTAACCGAACACTTGGAGACAAATAATGTCGAACCATATCTGCGTTGTGGCGGCTTGAAGTTTGCAGTTCAAAAAACGTGGTTTCAAAGAAACCTTCTTGAAATTTTAGCCTGATCAACCAGAATATAGGTGCTGAGCTCAAGTGAAATTATATACTCTTCTTTGACACAAAAATGAATTAAACAGCTTGAAACTCAGTCTCTATACCACTGGAGCGTATACCTTAAAAATCTGAAAATTCAATTTTTCGACCGCATACTCCACAAAAATGGACGGATTCATCATGAAGGGAATACTGCACATTGTATGAAAACAAAAAGATCTAAGTGTCTAGGATTTTAATCAATATGAGTTTATAAGGATTTAGGATTTTATAGGGATTTTGTATTATATGGGGTTTAGTATTTTATAGGGTTTTAGAATTTTATTGGGATTTTTGATTTTATAGGGATTTAGGATTTTTAGCACCTTGTTGATAGCCAATTTGCGCATAGTTCCATTCAACAATATAAGTATAATTATCTTGTTGAATTTACAAAAGCCCCACTTCTTTGCGCAGTCGCCCTCTTTTCTGGATAACTGATTTAAATAGTGTACATCTTACCTGAATTTTAATGATCAGAATGAAGGTCCAGTTGAAGTGATACCAATCGCGAGTGTGAAAGTAATCACAAGAATTAGCAGATCAATCGCGCACATTCATATCGACTCACCTAGTTTTTCCCTAGGAAAATAATTTTCACATGAGTCACGGAAACGCGCACGTTGAGAGAGGGCAAAAGTATTTAATTGGCGAGTCCGTATTTCGATCACGTCTCGATAGAGTATCTAATTCAATATAGTAAAAAATGACGAGTCTTACATCCGCAGATCGAGAGGCAAATTTTCACAAGTGTCAGATAAGAGAAGTGTTCGCAGTAGCGGTAAATAATTTGTTTGACTTAAAATCTCAATTGACTCAAACGGTTGCTTTCGCTGTATGGTACCTCTTAATTATTATTGCTCGAAAGTTTGAGGTCGAGGATAATTTAATTTTTGTTGATTGTAGCGGCGCGACGTGAATGATCGATTATCGATATTTCCCCATTTGAAGCTATGGTAAAGAATCGATTATTGAGGTGTTCGTTGCAAAAACCCTGAACCCCTCCTCCCCCCCCCACACACACCCAGCCTCATACACACCAAAAAATCAAAATAGGGTACCTAAAATAAATAATTTTCAGTTCAACAAGATCGTTATAAAATGAGATGAGAAATAGACCCAAAAACTTGCTTTGATTTTGCTTAAATGTTTCTTATTTTAATGTATTGTTTGAACGAAATCAAAGAAACAAATCGGTCCTGATACAGTGAAATTTCAAATGCAATTACTTGTAAGTAGCATGTTCCATAATGACCAGTCATTTGCACGGAAACGTGCAAAATTGAAGGAGCTCTTTGTCTTGTCTCCCCATAAGAAAACCTAGATGCAACTACTCATCCTCAAGGGATGCCCGTGGTGCATACTTACAAAATTGAAGGCGTTTCGGCTTTCCCGACGGATTCCGTCATTTATAGATCCAAATATTCGTGATATTGGTATGTCCGTGTTGCATAAACACACAACTGAAGGCGCTTGGGGTTTCCTCCAACAACCCTCGGATAGAGTTCTTCAAGACGATTTAAGATATGTGTGGGTTGCATACACACGCAACTGAAGGCACTTTGAGTTTTTTAACGACAACCCTGGATGTAGCTTTGTTCGTCTTAAAGACATTTCGAAGCATGTGCGGGTTGCATACACACAAAATTGCAGAACGCCGTAGCTATTTACTTCCAATACCTGGCTTTAAGCGCGGACCGAGAGTAAGACAAAGGAACAATGCATATCAAGATCGAAAGACAAATAAAGTTCAAAGTGGTATTCCTCTAAAAGACCCAATGTGAGAGACAAAATTCAGAGACCATTTTTTGTTTATTTCAAATTATTTTCTTCTTTCTTAAATTTTGTCAGGAAAAATTGTAAGCTTAAAACCACCGGTAACCCTTTTTTTTTTTCTTCAAAATATGACTTAGTTCCTTATTGTTAACTTAGATCATTCTGTAATGCGTTTAACATTGCGAGTCCATAAGACACAGTTCAGACTTTAGGTGGGCCATGCAGCATCAATGCGGCAATGCCGAAAATAGCGTACCTAACGAAATTTTTTTTTATTAACAGCATCCGATATCGCCTTTTCCCTTTTCGCGAAACACGACCCTTTTTTAGGTTCTTTGACACTTATGACCGCTTGATCCGAACTCGCAATACATCCTGGTACGACTGGCCTTACACACTCAGCTCTGCTCGCTCAAACAGAGGCCATTCAATTCATAGATGAGTCATTACTCGACCATAAAATTGTATGCAACGCGACAAGATGTGCGGTGGTGTTACTACAATTAAATTCCGAACGCCAAAATTACGACGATGCTTCGTCAGTATCGTGATCTCCTTCCCAGTCAAGCATTGAAACTCTATTTGTCATGCTGCTTCACTAGTGACCAATTCCATTTGTGTGTGCATCCGCAGGTAAGATACTTTAACTGTACAGGGTGAAAATTCACGGTTAGACGGTCAGACTGCATCAGGAGCGTTTTCTATGGGTCAAAATAAGACTTTCTTGTTGTACATAGTTTTTTTCCAAAAGTGCCCCCAGTCGGAGCTACGCCCCCCCCCCCAAATTTCGGGAAGTAAATCGTTTTTCCTGAATTTTGGCAACGGTTGTGAACCAAATCTCATGAAAATTTGTACTGTTCTGTACTTTTATGCCCTGAATGGACCACTAGACAAGGTACCAATTTCAGCATTTTGATGCATGTATCTTAACTAAAATTTCACGTAAAACACGATGCTGAAAACGTAAAATTTCAGAAAATTCACCTGATTCTTAGTTTCCTCCCAAAAGGATAAATTGCACTGAAGATTCTGAAACACCACGACCTGAAAATGTCCTTTTTGCACCCGACACAGGAAAAAAAAACACATTGGATCTAGAGTCCAGACTTTTAAAAACATCGACAAGAAAAAATACTCTTGTTTCAATCAGATTTAAGCTTAAATTAAGAACCAAGCCTCTTAATTTGAGCGGATTTCCTTTTGATTTAAGCAAAAATTTGATTGATTCAAGATTCCTTTTTCTCGTCAATGTTTTCAAGAGTCTGAACTCTAGATCCAATGTGGTTTTTTTCCAGTGAACGCTCCAATGATATTGGAGAGGGAACCTGTATCGGAATGATTCAATTCGTGCCGTTTGAAGATTGTGGCCGTTGTGGCCCATTTGAAGATTGATCAGGAAAAGATTTTCTACTAATCCTTCATAAATTGCAGAAGAAGACGATGGGTTCGTGGCTCATATCCCTTGCGGCCATGTTGCTCAACGCCTCGAAGCCTATTCTGCCACCACGAACCTCCACCTCCAATGAATCTGAGTCGGATCCCTGTAAAAGGTTCACTCGCGCAGACGTCGCGGGACAAATGTTAACTGTCCGAGGTAAAACACTTTTCCTTCATAATCTAAATACTTAACTGAAGGTTTGAAAAGCAACTTTTACACAAGACAAGTGGACTCGTGTCTTTCTCAAGAGCGAGATATTCAATTTTTTGTAAAGGATTCTTAACAAAAACGTTACTTTCTTGGTTTGAAGTTAACAGCAGTTATTTTCGTTCGCTTTTTTCGAAGCTTAAGTAGTCGGGCAGGGATGCACTAGTTAGACGAATTTCGCCTTAAGGTTTGAAACTTGCTTGCGGTGGAGTATCTCTAATCTACAGAGATAGAATGGACACTTCGTTTCGTGGGAACTCCCGGGATGAAAAACAAATTTGAGCTAAGGATGAAAGGATTGTTGTCAATCATTGACGATTATCATCTACAGAGACAAGAAGAGGTATCCCACTAACTCCTTTTACTTCTTTTACTTTACTTTTACTTCTGAGGATTCAACGTCTCCGTGTGAACAATGGACCGTGCTAAAGAAAAACGCCGTATGAGCCCCTAGGAGGTGCCATATTTTCTTTAATAACCAACGAATTCAATGGGAAAATTCTGAAAATTTTTCTTCCAACTTTTTAGACAGTTTTGTCCCCAATTTAATCTAAAATATTGGAACATTTTAAAAAAAAAATATGCATGACTTTCCTCAAAAATACATGTTCCTTTCGGAGATATTTGGCGACTCTCGAATGTTCATACGGCGTTCTTCCTTAGCACGGCAGTATACTGTAAGGATTTGCAATTTAAGTGTTTTTCCCTCGTGTACAATTTCATAAGAAACCCCCCCATCTGATGGTGACACTGCGGATTCCCGGACTTAATTCAGTTTCTAAAGCCACAAGTGGAAATAATGGTATTTGCGTACACCATGCAAAACTGCCTATGAAGTCCGACAATGCATATTACCCTAGCGATCCCCAAGGCTTACTTCCCTTCTACTGCCAATTCGACGGTGCATCGTCGTTTCCCGGGCAAAGGACCGTAACTTCATTAAAAGGTTGCAAAATTGACTAAAACACTTCGATTTTTTAAGAGAACGCACCTGTGCAATTTTTGTCCAAAAATGTTCTTATTTGCGCATGAAATCAGAGGATGAATCGGTGAAATTTTCAGTCAGAAATGCCTAAGATTTTCAGTGGTGTGGTGTGCTCCGCGATATACCAATTGATCTGCCATTTAAAAGCATGGAAAAGAATCGATTATTAAGGTGCTCGTAACGAACACCTTAATAATCGATTCTTTACTTTAGCTTCAAATGGGGAAATATCGATAATCGATCGCTCACGCCACGCCACTGAAGATTTTCCCGGTAAATATTATATTTGCGAAGAAATTTTTGGCAACATTGAAATGCAGATACGCTCTTTCGTAAAAGGAGCGACGAAATATGAGGAAAGCGGACAGTTTTTAACTCCACTGAGGAATTGTTTTCTGAGTTACGCGCTTTTTTAGTTTCCCCATCGATCCTTCATTTCCAGAATCAAGAATCGATCAATGGACACCTGAGAGCGCGGGGAACATTTGGGAGATGAGTGGACTTTTCGAGGGTGACATTATGGTAGATCCAAAAGATCTCACTCGTAATGCAGTCAACAATACTTCGAAGCGGTGGCCTAAAGCCGTCGTCCCCTACGCATTTCATCCAGATTTCCGTGAGTATGCAACCAGTTGTGATTCTTGAAAGTTGGTAACCCTGTTTTTCCTCCATTTAAATGGATGTATTTCTATCAATGACCCAGTGAGAGGGTGGTGACAGGGGGTGTTAAATGAGATGAGGGAGTGTCAACCCTGTTGACCTATGGGAAGACCGAGTTTTGTGGCGATTAGGCGTCGCAAATCGCCAGAGAGCGCTATAAAAGCGACTCATGTATGGTTGGTTGGTAGATACGTTTATTTGGTGCTTTTAACAATTAAGCCATTAACACCTTAGAGGAGAGATCAAAATATAGTAGAGAATTTAAAAATTTAAAAAGTAGGGGTCACAAAAAGGTGATACAAAAATAAAAGTTGTATGTATGTGTGTATGTATGTATTTCTATCAAACAGAACTAAGTGCAGAGGGAAAGATGGCTTGTGCTCGTCAGTGCTCGGGCCATAAGAATGAATAGGAAATATAAAGAGCCAGTGACGTCAGCGGCAACGACGAGAGAAACGACAATCAGGAGGGCGGTCTTTAACTCATGAGCCCTGTCCACAAGGCTCTAGATACATGCCCACGGCTCGTACACTGCGCACATAGTTCCGTTTGACATGACGTGAAATCCCACTTCTCCAATTCAGCAAACGGAACTGTGAGCCAACTGAGTGCGGCACCCTTGAGCCTTGGGCATGTATCTAGAGCCTTGTGGACAGGGCTCGTGAGTTATAGACCGCCCCTATCGTCGTTTCTCTCGTCGTTGCCGCTGACGTCACCGCCGCTTTATATTTTCCATTCATTTTTATGGCCCGAGCACTAACGAGCACACCCTATCTTTCCCACCTTCACATACTTCTGTTTGATAGAAATACGTCCAACCCAACCTAACCTAACCTTAACCCAACCTAACCTAACCTAACCTATCCTAACCTAGCCTAACCTAACCTAGCCTAACCTAATCTATCCTACCCTACCCTAACCTAACCTAACCCAACCTAACCTAACCTCTACCTCGTCCTTTTGTGTCTGGAAAATGTGCCCTATATAAAGCGATTTGATTTTTTCACCTACTTCCCCAGCAAAGGAAGGAAGAGATATGGTGCTGAAAGGGATGAGCGAGTTGGAGGCGGTAACGTGCGTTCGGTTCAAAGCCTACCAGCCGGAGGCGCACGATTCCTGGGTGGAGATCCAGGGCCCGAACAACACGCGTCGCTGCTCATCGGCGGTGGGTCGGAAGGGCGGTAAGCAGAAGCTCATGTTAGCCCCCCGGTGCTACGCCCACGGATCCGTCGTCATCCAGCACGAGCTCCTGCACGCACTCGGGTTCTACCATCAGCATTCGGCCATGGAGAGAGACCAATATGTCAGCATCCGCTGGAAGAATATTGATAAAGGTACGTATACCCACGCTGTCGTGCTGAGGAAGGACGCCGTATGAACATTCGAGAGTTGCCAAATTTTCCCTAGGGAAGATATAAAACACACTGGAAAAAAACACATTGGATCTAGAGTCCAGACTCTTGAAAACATTGATAAGAAAAAGGACTCTTGATTCAATCAGATTTAAGCTTAAATCAAAAGGAAATCTGCTCAAATTAAGAGGCTTGCTTCTTGATTTAAGCTTATATCAGATTAAATCAGGAGTATTTTTTCTTGTCGATGTTTTTAAGAGTCTGGACTCTAGATCCAATGTGGTTTTTTTCCAGTGCACCGATATGATTATGATTAGTTGAAAAAGCTCAAACTTTCATCTTTTATTATTAATAGTGTATTATTATGAAATAAATTGCAATTTTAGAATGGAGATGTTGCATGTGTGAGGAATTTGCGATTTGACTGTTGATTCTTACGTAAAAGTTCGCGAGTAACAAGATGGTGCCACTGGTTTTCTCTGAAATCAACTCCCAAGCTCAAAAAAAGCTCTCAAGTTGGGGGCAAAATGGAGGAGATATCCCACGCTATCTTGAGAGTCCACCTCTACATCAAAACGAACTCTCCATCCAAAGATAGGGAGCAAATACACTGACAGGGCTGCCACTTAATTTGGGGACTCTAAAACTGAAAACACGGCAACCCTGCTAATGTATTTGCTCCCTATCTTTGCATGGAGAGTTTGTCTTGATGTAGAGGTGGACTCTCAGGATAGGGCGGGATGTCCCCTCCATTTTTGCCTCAACTTGAGAGCTTTTTTCGTGCTTGGGAGTTAATTTCAGAGAAAACCAGTGGCACCATCGTGTTTTTCGCGAACTTTTACATAAGAATCAATAGTCAAATTGCAAATTCCTCACACACGCAACATCTTACTGACTAACTAGCAATCTTAATAAATAAAGTGCCTGATAAAAGGATTAAATTGTAAATTTAATTATAAGAGAAAAATAAATAAAGTTATGAAAGTTATTAAAGTTAAATAAAGTTATAATAAAGTTATTCAATACGATTAGATTAGGTTAGGTTAGGTTGTATTTTTGACAACGTTCATGCATACATAAACCCACGCTGCCGTGCTAAGGAAGAACGCCGCATGAACATTCGAGAGTTGCCAAATTTCCCTTGATAAAACATGTATTTTTGACAACATTCATGCATACGTTTCCTTGAAATGGACAAGGCCTTCCATTTTTAAGAAAGGAACGAAAATATTATGAAAGAACAAACATAAATGTAGTTTAATAATCTTAACTTCCGCCGCTGCCGTGCAGCGCTGACGGTACTCTAACGCTGACTGCACTGTGTTTGGCGTAATGCGTGAAGTATTCCTAGAGTCTTGCAGGCGCTATGCGTTTCACGCCGACCGCTGCTGACCGCATTGATGTTTGACGCAATGCGTGAAGTATTCATGCAGTCCTGTAGGCGCTATGCGTTTCACGCAGACTGCTGCTGACCGCACTGTGTTTGACGCAATGCGAGAAGGATCCATGCAGTTATGTAGGCGCTAATATGTGTTACATGCTGAGCGCCGGCCGCCGCACCGAGGACTTATCCTTGTCTTGTTCTTGTCATCTCAAGTCCTCGTCATCATTGCTCTCTGCGCCGCGCCGTTCCAGGCCAGATTCCGTGTTTGATTTCTCTCTTAACTCGACTAATTAAAGGTGCTGTCTTTTGTATCTCCGAAAGACGACACAATTGGAAATTACTATACCCTCAGTAAATGAGAGATTTTTTCGCCTATTCTCGTTCGTAATTGTTTTTTCTGAATCCGATTTTTTTTTATACCAACATCTAAAAAAATTGTAAAATCTGCCGCCATGGGCCGTGGCCCATTTGGCCACCCCCTAAATCCAGCCCTGCATTCATGACGAAATTGACTAAAACTACAAATTGGATTGTTCAAAATTTTCAGGGGAAACCCCGAACCCCCCCCCCCCTCCCGTTCAAAGTGTCTTGATTCGCCTATGATGTGCAGGAATTAAGTTTTTGCATCAATAGAGCACTAGATAATGTACGAATTAATGCAAATAAATTTTCTTTAAATCTAAATAATTTTTTGAGCAGTATGATTGAACCCAAACTAAATTCGTCAAGAATCTAACGTTTCAATATGTGCAAAATGTTAATCCGACCATCTTCGAAACATTTCCGATTCTCCAAATTTAAATCAAAACAATTATTCCCAGATTTATAACCAATGATAGCTACTTATCCCCCCTTCATCCCTACATTTCTCTATTTTCTTAAATGCTACAGAATTAGTGTGTTTGAAACTGACTCCCTGGCATATCTGCATATTTTTTCAGCAAGTATAGGTAACTTCTGCAGCCGGACGACAGAAAACTTTGGTGTGGATTACGATTACGCAAGTATCATGCATTACAGCCCAGTGGCTTTCACCACCAACGGCGAAGAAACTATCGTCCCGCTCAAGCGAGACCAAAAGGTAATTAAACAATTCTGTAGAACATTAGGATGTAAGGTAGAATTTAACATATTTTTTGCACCACAATATTATCAAACTGTTCCGTAGAACAAGATGAATTTATGAAAAATTTATGCATTTTTTGTTTGTTAGGTAAGCAGTGCTATGGGTTAAAAAATAAAAATTGTTAGTTCACATTAACAAAAAAATTAAATATCTATTAGTCGAAGCTTTTCGGTCATTGCCTCTATGGCCTTCGACTACTAAAAACTGAATTTGTATGTTAATGTGAGTTAACAATTTTTATTTTTTAACCCACAACACTGACTACCTAACGAACCAAAAATTACTTGCTTACATTACGCCCTCAACTTTGAGAGTTTTTTTTTTTTTTTTTAGCTTGGAAGTTGATTTCAGGGAAAACCAGTGGCACTATCGTGTTTCTCGCGAACTTTTACATAAGAATCAATAGTCAAATCGCAAATTCCTCACACTTGCAACATCTCCATTTTTCAAAGCTCGATATCTCAGTTAATATCAAACGTAGAGAGCTGCTGTTTGGACAGATCTTATTATTGGCTCGTCTGCAAGAAACAAGCGTCAAAACACGATTCTGTGGCCGGCGCAACTGACCCATTCAAACGACTACAACACAAGTAATAATGCCAACCATGGCTTTAAATAACCAAATACTCTTGAGTATAAAACAATGTTCAGCGACGAAAACTGAATATCGATATTTTTTATTACAACCGCTTGATCGCTGTGCTGAGAAATTTGAGTTTACACTCTTAGGCGGATATGCACCTCTTATTAAAATTATTTTCGTTTTCCAGGCTCAAGCGATGGGTCAAAGGCAAAAGTTAAGTGCGGAAGACATACTTAAAGTTCAGAAGATGTATTCATGTCAGACCTAATGCTCAATGGAGCCCCCTACCTCCCATTTTCTGATTTTCCACAAAATGTCTTAATTTTCGGATTTGGATCGGATCGTGGCGCTCATGATTCTTCATCGCCATCATTACATTAGTTGGTCGATAAACGCCAATTTTAAACAATCAACAAAATGAGTTCCATGTAAGAGGGAGATACACAATACGCAATGCAATGAAAAATTATAACTTATTTCAATTTTATTGCGATCAATTGCAATGAGGAGAGTTCCTTCGATCAGTACATAGGCAACATATACAACACTCCAATGAAATACTAATAATTTTACCATGTAATTGCAATTTATGGCAATCTGTGCTACTCGGGTCTGTTGAATGTTATAGAGAAGAAAAAGGAGGTGTTTATATCTGGAGGTATCTTGGATTTTTTTTGATGACGTAGGTTGGCACGGACGATTTTTATCATCGATTTTCTTGGAAATGGTGTAGTTTATGGACAAAAGTCATTCCAAATACAGTGTTTGAAATAATATCATGAGTTGAATTTTGCAAAAACATTGGACGTTATGGTCCATTTTTCATGCTTCGAATTCCGGATTTTGGTAGAGTACCTGTACCGACCTACGTCACGGGGTAAACGGGCGGGCGAGGGTAAACAGCGCGACACGCGCATTGGCGCCTACAAACCTAACATGGATACTTCACGCATTGCGTAATGTGTGAAGTATCCCTGTTAGGTTTGTAAGCGCCAGTGCACGTGCCGCTCCGCTCTGTGTTCGGCTCTAATATTTAAACTCGCGAAGTCCCGTTTTTCAGCTCTAGATTTTGATCTGTTTGCACACCAGTGGCGTGGCGTGAATTGCGATGTATCGATTGTTATGTCATTTAAACCTATGGTAAATAATCGATTATGAAGGTGTTTACTGCGAACACCCTGTTTATCGATCCTTCACCATAGGTTTAAACGGCAGAACAATCGATACATCGCAATTCACGCCACGCTACTGTTGCACACTCAGCATGGATTATTCTCAATTACATTGGTGAAAAAAAATATCCTCAAGGTGCGAACACCTCCTTTTTTCACTATGGTTGAATTTGGTGGGAATTACTTGTCTTTGCTGTATGCACAGGGGCTGTCTTCATTGTTTATTTTAAAAATACAACCCTCTAATTTAAGGTCGGGGAAGAAACGCGGACAAACAATACCCTTTTTAGTGCAGCGGTTATAATGATCGACAAAAAATGGAAACAAACAGAGTGAACTACATTTGAAAAGGTAACAATTATTTTTAGAGGTAATAAAAGATGGATCTTGTATTAGTAACAAGCGAGAATTTCCAATTCTACCCGACAAATTAGCCTTTAATTTTCCGAGCCTGCACCGAACAACCTGGTCTCATGTGGAGTAAAATTTTCAATCGATCCCAAACGTAATTTTGAGGAGTTACACGTTATGTCCGCCGCTTGGGAATGATCAAGGTGTGACACATGGGAAGAAATCTCAGCTTCTGCATCGCTTTATGGCACTGCAGCCTCTAGTGTAAGGGTTTGCAGCTCCAGGTTCCTTTGGTGGTACTGGTACAGGCCCTCTATTATCAGGATGCTTAAGACGGTCGAACCTTATTGTGCGCACGATCCTCCGCTTAAAAAGTCTCTACAATGTGCAAAATAATGAATCGGTCAAATTAATACAAGAAGACGCAAAGATTCCAAATTAATTAAATGTCATCATCTCGATGGAAAGAGGTACTGTGCATGGTCAAAAAGTTCCAGCGTGGAACGGACAAATGACATTTGAGTATACAGGGTGATCCAGGGTTAAACGGCCAGACTGCAGGAGCCGAAACACCCCCAAACTCCTCTTTAAATTGAGATTTCTATTGGTTTTAGATCAGTTATGAATTCAGGGCATGAAATCACAGGAAAGTACAAATTTTTGTGAGATTTGGTTCACAACCGTTGCCGAAATTCAGGAAAAACGATTTATTTTCCGAATTTTTTTTTTTTTTGGGGGGGGGGGGGAGACGTAGCTCCGTCTGAGGGGCACTTTTAGAAAAAACTTTATACAACACCGTGCTACAAACTACCGTTACGCAAAGATGTAGTAGTAGTAGAATAGAGATGCTGAGAATATGTGCTGACGTGATAGATGATACTAGGGGGCTACGCCCCCTGGCCGCTACGCGGCCCAACCCCCTGAAGGCGCTCCGCGCCATCAATGGGCCGCTTCGCGGCCCTATTTTTACCCTCCTATCAGTGTTAGTTTTATTTTTCCCCTAAAAAAATACGATATGAGGTATACTTTAATTTTAAACTTTACTTAAAATTACTTTAAAATTAAAAGGACGCGTTTTGGAATGACTGCTTGATGAAATATTGCAGTAAAACAATGAACAATGATAATTAGGTAATAAATAAGAAATCATGAGTCGGTGATCGAACCCGCACTGTGATCATAGCGGACGCAATTGACGTCTTAGACGACTCGGCCACCGCTCGATATGAAACTCCAGGTGCGAATCTTGTGTAGATAAGTGTAGAGCTGATGCGCAGGCTACCCAGCTACTGCGCAACCTCCTCGACCATTGCGCATCCTCCCGCGCATAGCGGTAGCAGTACCGGAGCATTCTATAAACTCATTCACTTTTATAACGTGATTTTAAAAAAACCTGGGTCCTTTTTCCAAAATCTGATTGCAGCGGGCTCATCTAGGGCCTATTACCTGTCGATTTACGCAAAAACCATGGAAATCGGCCCGGTAGAACGCTCAAACGAACTATGACAAAAAGTATAAATTTACATTGTTTAAATGGGAGAATTCGCAACTTTACCACGTAATATAAAAAAACCTGGACCATATTTTGAAAATCCGAAAAGAGTTGGCTTATCTAGAGACAATTGCCCGTCGATAGCCGCAAAAATCATGAAAATCGGCCCGGTAGAACGCTGGAACTAAGCGTTACCAGTTTCGCAAAATTAGGAGGTCTTGGAGCTTATAGTATAGATTATCATTCACGAAAGGTAATGTCTCCAATAGGTATATAATACAAACTTTTACAGATCTAATCATTATTCATTGATTTGTACACAATGGACCACTAGACAAGGTACGAATTTAAGCATTCTGATACATGTATCTTAACCAAAATTTCACGTAAAACACGATTCGCGCAACGAAAATTACTGAAACCAACTCCTAACGAAGCTATTAACATTTTTATTTCACAATGGTTACAAGGAATTTGAACTGCCCGCTCACAAGAAACTAAAAGCTCTACGTGAGTCAAATCGCGCACTACAACGGTTTCAGCAATCTTCTCAATCGATCAATGTTCATTTCCCACCATGAGTTGTTCAAACTATTAGCAATTTGCTATAACTGAGCCAAAGCGTCAAGATTGAGGTTGCCAGATTTTTAAATCGCAAAGACTGTCATGATAATGTTTAGCGCGGGATGTGAATCACGTAGAGTATTGAGTTTTCATGAGCGGGTGGTTTAAATTCACGCATCAAGAATCATTAAATATCTTCGTAAGGAGTTGATTTCGGTAATTTTTGTTGTGCGCATCGTGTTTTACGTGAAATTTTAGTCAAGAAACATGTATCAGAATGCTGGAATTCGTACCTTGTCTAGTGGTCCATTCAGCTCTCAAAATAAAATTCTAGGACGAGGACAACCGACCCATAAAAAGGACTCTTATCATGGACGAGTCTGATTATGACGCGTAGATAGGCTTCCTTGTTACAATTATTTGAAGAAACTGATCTAGGTGCACTACTAATTTTTTACGTACCTCCTTAAGTGGATTTCTTCTTGCAAGAATTCCCCCACCTTCATCGGGGGGTTCTGACAATACAAAACTGAACACCTGTAAAAAGAGGGAAAAAATCCTATCTTGTAAAAATTATGAATATTAAGAGGGAATATGCAAGCTATGACTTTGTAGTCTGACAAAGTATCACGATGCGATAATGATGCAATATCTCGAAAAATACATGAAAAACTGTCTATGAGAAGCAGCACTTGTGGCTTTTGTTGCTCTATTTCATGTTTGTATCAAAAGTGATATTATACTGATAGTTCAGTAGGAAAAACGGTACCATGACAAAACTGATTTTTTTAAAAAAAAAAATATTAAAATAAATGCGTGAAAAAAGCTCTGCAAATTAAAGTCAAATATTCTGCAGAAAACTCTCTCGCAGATCTTGATAATTTTACAAACATTAGTATTTGTCAGTGTTCAACAGAGAAAAAGGAATCGTTTGCTCTAACAATTTTCTTTGTAGATTTTAGGTCATGCCCTTTTTCCTAGTCGTGGTTGCAATGTTACTTTTGTGGTAGAATTGACCATGTGTATACATACATTCATGAGAAGAATCGGGAAAAGAATCCAAAATATTTGAGACATGCCTGAAGTCGTGAACCTCTCCTTAAAAATGTTGATTTGAAACAACAGTTATTTTCAATCCTGCGAGCACAGATACTTCTCCAGTTGTAGTTTAATTCATTTATACAGGTGCACTAGGCATGGTGCTCTCTCTTTCACGCACGATAGATCAACATATTATTCATCTATCGAGGTAAACTTTTTATACACTTTTCTGGATTTCCCTGTCTCGTAAATAAGTTACTCGAATGAGGAGCTTTGTATGAACATTGGTGCAGTGATGATTTTCTCAATGTGTCATCACTGTTTTTAGTGTTTTTCCTCGATTTGGGTGCAAATAAAACAATCGGTTCCAAAAACAAATAGATATCGATGATGTGACAGACATTTAAACGAACAAGTTTCTTCGTTGCCAACTTTCAGAGGTCGCCTTTATACTGGTATTATTCTGCCGTGCTGAGTAAGAACACAGTATGAGCCTTCAGACGTTGACAAATGTAGCTGGACAAATCTTAAATTTACGGGAAAATTTGCGAATATTTTTCCTCCGATTTTCCAGAGAATTTTGCTCATAATTTGATCTAAAATGTCTGAAATTTTTGTTGAAAAACACTCTTAACTTTCTTCGAGAGTGAATATTTTCTGAGAGAAAACCTGGCAACACTCGTTGGCTTATACGGCGTTTCATTGACACGGCATTATTGCTCCCCTATTATCACTTCCCGCTACCCTTGAACGTTACAGAGTCTAGAAACCATTCATAGGCAGAGTGAGTATTTACTTCCGTCATCTGATGACGAATAGATGCGGGCAGTGTATCTACATGAGAAAGAGATTCCGAAGGATTCGGAA